ACAAAATTTAAATAGGTGAACAAATAGTATGTTAACTAGAAAGCGACATTGTTGTGCATTTATAACATGAAAAACTGTCAAAATCTTATTTGGCAAGTTTTTATTTGCTTTCAAACAAAATAAAAGAATGTGTGGAACTGAACAGAAAAACGAATATATGGCTTTCGTAGTTCTATTGACGAGTAAACAATAAATCATGAAAATTCTCGTTTTTACTTCTGTCTTATTATAGGAAACATATTCCATCTTATTCAGTTAGTAATTATCAGCAATGGATTTTTTCAGGCTTTAGCTTAGACTCATCCTGACGTACATTAGATTTTTTGTAGCTAACCATCAATTTTTTAACAATCTGTCACCAACGGTCTGTAAATTTTGTGTGTCTGTTGAGCTGAAATGAAGTTTATAGATTAAATATTTAAGTTATAAATTTCTTTATTTCATAGAAAGGCCATTTTCCTGTTGATTGTTTTTACTAGGTTTGCTAGTAAGGGTATTTAAAATATAACTTAGTACGAATATGACTGTGTTTTATAGTAATTATCATACAAAAGTTATGAGAGATTTTAGCTTCACTATAGGTTAAATGATATTACGTTGTTCCCTTGACTGGATTAATAACTTCAAGTAGAAACTGTCAGTTTAGTAGATTTTTTATAACTTGGTTTACTAATCTGTGTCTTTAAAAATTATTGCTCATAATTGTTCACATGATCTGTTGAAGCCTCATACAAATATCAGTTCTCTTTCTGAACTGAGTTATTATATCGTTTTTAGTAAAAGATATTATTAAGTTTAAATTACTGAATGTAGTTTATAGTCAAACAGATAGTCGTCAGCTCGTTTAGCAAGTTGTTAACGTAAGATATTAGAATTTTTCTCAGTGCTTTCATGTTTTCATGCTCGCTCGGAGAGTTGTTAATCCTGGATATGCCTAGATTAGTGCCCACCTATTGATGAGGTATTTCAGACGACATAATAACTGCTGACTGTTTCGATTCTTCCAACGGTTTTTAGTTGACTTAAGCTTTCAAAGGACACCGTCTTCAATTTAAACAACTTGAATTCAAAGTCTAAACATTTGATTCGTGACAATTAGCTCAATTGGATAATCACAGTCTAGTATCATCTGGAAAACTCACGCAGCCCCAGACTAGCAAAAAAAACAGTTCTCCGATCTTTTCTGGTTCACAACGATCATAAAAATTACGTTGATCCTTTATGAAAACAGTCTGTTAAGTAAGTTGATTACTGGCAACAATAAGACTTCCTTTAGATTGTTTATTAAACCTAAAAATATTGTGGTTGTTTACAAAAACAGTAACCAAAATGAGACTTTCTGAGGGTTTATCTTATGATACAAACAGCTACAAACTCAAAGACATCATGCAGATCGTACTATCCACATGATTTGAAACCAAACGTTTTACCAAGTTAAGTACTTTAATGGAGATTTTAGCACTAACAATCAACTAGGATTAGGAAATTATGATTTATAACTGAACATATAAATTGCAAAAAATCGGCAAGTCTTTAGTAGTCACCATGGTTTCCAAGAAACCTTTAGTTATCCTGATCTTGTATGACTTAATGACTGTATGGTGGTGAGTATCCCAAACAAGAATGAAACAAGTGAATAGATCTCTTTAGCTTCATCGGTTCTTTAAGTCATATAAATCCAAAATAAAAATCATGTTTAATTTAGAAATAACTATTTTATAACTAACTTCACCTGTAGCACTTCTAGGGTTACTAAAGGTCCCGAACCCAGGTAAAGGAGGAGGGTTGGGCATGGGGTCAACAACCCCGTCCCGTAGAAAACAACTTTGCTAAATAAACGCTAACCAGAATAAACATATTAAAACACTTAAACTCTGCCCACCGAGTTGAAAAAATGAATTATGACGCTTCATGGTGAAAGCCAAGATCATTCAGAAGTAACGAGGCGGATGCCCTCCATAACAACCAGTGAAACAATTAATGTACGTACGCGGAATTTTCGGACAATGTAGGAGACCGGGAAAACCAGTCAAGTAGCTATGAAAATGAGGAGATACAACCAAACGGTGCTTGGAATCAGTGAAACCCATTGAACCCGAACTGGATAGCAGAGGCCAGATACGTCAGAAATGCTGCTGTAATCCAGTCACGAAGACGAACATGCTCCACACACTTAGGGACTTGCTCTGATGCTACCCAAAGAATCACGAAATGCTCTTATAGGATGCGAATATCATAAATCTAGGATCATTAAAGTACTATTCAAAACAAATTTGGAGGAAATGGCAATGAATTGTATCCAGTGTTATACACCGACCAATGACAGAAATGATGAGGATGAAAATAAGTTTTGCGAGAGGCTGCAGTCAATCGTAGTGAAGTGCTTGGGTAAAGACCTGACCATCCTGATAGGAGACCTAAACGCCAAAGCCGGAATGAACAACAAGGGTTATGAAGATATCATGGGACGACATGGACTGTGAGAACGGAAGAAAAATGATTAGATCACCACCTGGTGTTCGCAAAGATGAAACCGAAGCCAACAAATAAGGACTAAACAACTGGAGAAACAACAGCACAAAGGTTCAATACAGCCTTCCTTCAAGATACTAACAAAATAAACAAATTCAAGATAGCTCACAACATCAGGTTCCAAGAGTTCCAGGATCTACTTAAAGAAGAAGAAACTACTATGGAGGACGACTGGTAAAGGGCCAAAGAGGCAGTATGTTCAACGTCTCACGAGCTGCTGGATCACAAGAAGCACCATCATAAGGAAGGCATCTCTATCTAAACTCTTCACAAGATTAAAGAATGGAAGAACAAGAAGACACCAGTCAACAATAGCCGAACAAGTACAGAGAAAGTCTGGGCACAAGCTGAGCATACAGAAGCAAAATAGCAAGTGAAGAAGAGTATTAGAGATGACAAGTAGAAATATGTGGAGGACCTAGCAACGACAGTGGAAAAGTCTGCAAAAGAAGGGAATATGAGACAGCTAAATGACACAAAGAAGAAACTGTCAAGGAAATACAGTAAACCAGAGACACCGGACAAAACAAGAAAGGCAAGACAATCACCGAGATTCATAAAGAGAGGAAGAGATAGGTAGATTACTTCGAAGAACTCTTGGAATCAGTATGGTCATCAGACAAACCAAGAGTGGGAAATCAGCAAGACCTGACAATATACCAGCTGAAGCACTAAAGTCAGATATGGAAGTAACTGCAAACATGATTTACACTCTATTCAGGAAGATTGGGAGAAAGAATAGGTGACAATGGCCTGGAAAGAAGGACACCCCATCAAGATACCAAAGAAAGGAGATTTGAGCGAGTGTGAGAACTATAGAAGCATCACACTACCATCGGCACAATTAAAGGTTTTCAATGATGTTGCTGAATTGGATGAATGATTTAGTAAACGTCCAATTTCGAGATCAACGGGCTGGACTCCGTGAGGATTGATTGTGCAGAGACCGAATCGTGGTAGTACTATCGATAAACCTTTTTTCATATTAACAGCATGGTTCCAGAAAACGTCTCTCTTGTATAACTGACCTGACTGCGGTTGACAGATGGACAACCATCCCTGATCGCACGGGAAAGGTTGATGTTACATACCTTGACTTCCCAAAAGCTTTTGATAGTGTTAACTATACATGCCTTATCAATAAGCTCAAACGATTAGGTGTTGAGTTACCTTTAATATATTGGCTTACTTCACATTCAAATTACCAACTTCTTAGGGTCAGAGCAAACTTAACTTTCATCAGGCTACAAAATGTTCATGTGGGGTCCCTTAGGGTTTACCACTAGTATATTTTATTTACTTAATTTACACAAACAATCTTCCTCAGCAGGTATTGTCTGATCTGTTATTTTTTCACCAATGATGTGAAACTTCTGAGAGGAGTTTGCGAGCAAGATGATAAGCTGGCACTTCAGGAGGATCTGGTTCGACTTTAATAGCGGGCAGATAACAACGAACTTTAAGCACTTCAAAGTGTAAAATAGTCCGAGACATGTCACGGACCACGTATACGATTTAGGCAGCTACCTTCCAGAGTTATCACAAGTTAAAAGGATCTAAAGGTCTTGGTACCACACATTCCAAAGTCTTACGCTAATTGCGACAAAAATACTATTCGAGCAAACCTTGCACTGGTAACGCTGAAGCACATTTTGACTAGTTTAACGGTAAAATGTCCACTTAAACTTCAACATCTTTATTCAGCCTCTTTTGGAGTATGGAAATATAGTGTTTCTTCCATCCATCAAGAAGGATAAGGATGCATTGGGAAATATCCAACAGCGAGAAGTGAAACCAGTTCTGGGACTCAAATTCGAGCCTTATACAGAGAGCCTTAAATCATTGAATCTTTGCTCATTACAATATAAGAGTCCCAGAGGTAACCTTTCAACGACGTACAAAAGTTTTGACACTCTTTGCTATCCCCTCAAATATTCAATTAAGCCCAGTCCCAACAGAAAACTTAGAGATAATACCTAGAAATCAGGGACATGACATAGCAGAACGGACTGTAGGAATATGTTGATTAAAAGTACTCAGGTTAATGTACTAACTAGTGATTCCTGAAACAGTACAGCAGTTAGTAATAGATGGGCACAAATGAACGTATTATACTTGGAATTCGTAATCAGCGGACTATCCTGTACAAAAGAACCATAGGATCATGGAAACACCGCAAGAAGCACCTTCTATCCCTTAAGAGCAGTCAAATTCCTGAATTTTATGCCTGCTAATGCGGTCCAAGTGACCTCCCAGGAGTTGTTTAGGAGAAAACTTGACATATTTATAAGGACAAAGCATATTATCTCAATATTATCTACTAACATTTCCCTCTCTTATCATTAAACATACCTAGGTTCCTACTCAGCGGCATCGATGATCGACCAAAATTAAATATGAAAGGCCATTAAGCGAAAGCTTATTCTATTCTATCCAAAACCATTTGTGTATGTGATCCACATCGGAGAGTTTTCTCAAGGCGCCTGGTTCAACTGTGACCTCGAAGCTCAAGGTAGTTCACTGGGCTTCACTTTTACCCGTCCTGTTTTTCTGCCGTGCAGACTACTTTTTCTGAGTCAAAAAGCTGACGACATCAGTTGCTGATCGGATATCCGTTGGTTGAGCACAACTTAGTTTATACAAAGTCGACTATCTTAAGGTTAGATTCATTTGAATAATATTGTTTAGATCACTTTCTAATGAATAATCCAATTGAACAGTGCGAATCTGTTGCAATTAATGACACGTCTACCTTGCGAAACACCGTCAAAGATTTATGTCACAGGGTTTGTTCCCTTTCTCACTAATTTTCGTGAAATAGCTAGAGAAAAACCCTTTCGATTATAATGCACACGTACAACTCATCGAGTGTCTACGAAAAATAGGCGATTTCAAGAGACTCAAAACTTCGCGTGAGCGTATGCACGAAACCTATCCACTTACTCCAGGTAATTTAAATATTGTGAAAGTGTTTCCTGACGCTTTGTTAAGTGCTGTCTTTGGCTTATACAACCTGTCTAGTTTATTTTAGCCATATAATATCGGTACGATGCTGTATTTTGTGGGTCTCCATAAGTGTCGCAGCAAAACGTAACGCTGTCAGTCTCAGTAAGGAAACAAATCAGAAAAGTCTGTGCTTTCTTTGGAATAAGAATTTACCAATCCTACGTTTTGAATATATTTAATAGACGAGATTTAATAATTTATCGAAACTTGAATTCCTCCTTGTAATTCTTTGATGGGGTTCGTAGTAGTAGTTTCGATGTTTGTGAACGTTTAATCAGTGTCCATTTAATTTGGAAGATGAGAGTGGGGAATGTTTCGGTCAGCCTTATTACTTAGTAATCTGGTTTGTTTGGTCTAGCTTGGATAGTCTTCCAGCAGTCTGAGGAATCAACGATAACACCATTCGGTCACCTTCACTTAATAGCGAAATGTAATCGAGGATTGTGACAACTTCCTTACCATTTGTTTATGTAGTATTTAATAACGATGACTTCGAGTTTGAGTATTATTCCGTGGACTCTTTTACATGTGTTGAATCACATGATGTCATTATCGACCATATTTTACTTCAGAAAGTTATCTAATGGTCCTGTCATTGGATTTCTCCGGTCTATTATGAATGCATAAGTCCCCTAAGATTAGACTTGCCGATAGGAGACTGAGTACTACACTTACCTAGCATTATATTGCTTGTTTGAATCTGAGCTGCCGTAAACACGACTGACCAGCAACTCTTATCTTCCATATTTCAGTTTTAAATAATAGCGATTCTATACAGTGATTCATGTTTACATAGAAAAACAAGTTACTGCCAAAGCCCCATCATCTAAATATTTTCTGTCACAAGGCATACTTTCTGCAGCTTGAAGCCAAAATTAGACAACTTCAGCCACCTGATTTTTAGACAGCAATTGAAAAGTGTTTAAGTGTATACACTTTAGACTCCAGCTTGTGATCACTTTATTATTAAGTTATTTTCGTTCCTGAACTTAAAGGAAGATTAGACAATGTTACTGAATAGGGCGTTTAAGTTCAGTGTGCGGGTCCGCAGCTTCTTAAAATTTAAGGAAAGTTAATTTTACGGTATTAATTTACTAAGTAGCTCTTTGAGTAGGTCTACATTATCCCGAATGAAATTTTTAAACTATGAGTCATTATTCTTGAGTTTGTGGCAAATGACCAATGTGTTATATGTTTAAACATCGGGCTTTTAACTATATCTGACGAAATTCTCTTTTCAGTCAATTTTATGCCAGTTCTGCTTCTAGGACCTGACATACCTTTCTGACTAATATCGTCAGATTATTTCTGGCTACTGCTTAAGTTGTTCAGTACTCAAGAAACTCGTTTTGCGGCTTTCCGCTTGTTACTTATTCGTCTTTGACTCATTTGGAGGATTCGACACTTGCTTGTCCCTCATCTCTATGTTTACATATGGCAATCGCACTTCGATTGATTTACTGTCGTTGCTGACTTCTTGCTTGTTTGTATCAACAAAATCCTTCTTGTAACTGTGACTTATAAATACATCTACAGTTGGCATTGCTGCTGAGTAGACTATGATTGTTTAAACCGCTTTGCTTAACAGTTATGTGAACCTCGGTCAGGTGTACAATTTATTTTACAGGTATAAAGTTTGTTCAAACATCGTGAATCCAACCTTTGGATTCATCACATGCCGTTCCTCGCTGGTTAGCGACGATCCACGTCAACGGTTTATTTTTGGAAACTTCAAGAAGTTCTCAGATAATATCTCAAAAACTTGTTACACAATCGTGCGAAATTAACCAAAAATTTATCTTACCCATTAAAGGAGTACGAGTGCCCCCAAATGCCCTGGTATGACCGAGAGTGGGGGGAACCCGCTCTCCCTCTCGAAATGCTCTCACATGGCCACACGTATAAAGCCTCTGCCAGGGAAGTCCTACTCACTGCCTTCACGTGGCCGGGGTGTTGTTTACACAAATAAGAGGACGAAAAGCGAATGTCCGGCGCTTTAACTGGATTCCAAACCAATGGTGCGCATGGGCTCCAGTATCCTGAAGGAACAAAGGGGGTATGAACCAATTGTTGGTCACCGGCTTCCATGGGACTGTATCTTCTTACGACGCTCCACTGCCTTGTGGATCAGACCTTCAGGTCGAAGGCTCGGGGTGTGGCCTCCTAAGAAAACCATCTGCTTCGGTTTGGGCACCCAGGCAGTATCACAGCCCTCACACATATCGAATAAGATTTGTGTGGCGTATATGTATTTGGTGCCTCCTTGTACCAATATCTGTGTTAAAATAAAATAAAAAGGAGTACAAGTATAAACTATTTCAAATACTCTCCTTGATACCCTTATTTCATCTAAATAAAGCGAAACAGTAGCTTCGATGTTAAATTTATCATAAGTAAGAATTTTACTTAACGAGAATAAATGCAATTGATTTTTAGATAGTCCACACTTCATTGATGCGATATAGCTAAAGTGTATCATAACTCATGAACTTTGCTTCTTATTTAAGTGCTGTGATGGCGGTCGCACCGGATTTTTGTTTTAAAGCAGACTTACTACAAACTTTTGTCGTGATCTGTGGTTTATGGACTAATCCATTTTATGGCATCTGGTTACAATTCAATAAGCTTGCCTTGTTTAATCACTAGATTTCACCCATACTATTACTTAAATTTTCTAGCTTCAACTTGTAACAAATGATTGTGTTGCCTTTAATCTATATTTTTACCTATCTTTTCCAGCACTGTGGCTTCAATGGATCGAGGATGAGCTTAATAATGCTTCTACACTTGAAGAAAAGCGACGAGTGGAAATTCTTTTTAAACGTGCGATTGATGATTATGAAGGTTAGAAGCTGGGTGTACCTTTCATACTTTTGATATTACTCCTGCCTTTCTAATCATGTTCTGATTCTTTCAGTATTGCTTCAACGTTGATGAACGTTTAAAGTGAAGACTTTTGAGGTTTATAAATTATAGCATCTAAAGTAAAAAGAAGAAACTGTGGTATCGCACCGAAACGGAAGTTAATAGTTAAATGACGTTTATCGATTTGTCAGATTTACAAGTGGATACAACTGATGTGAAGCACTTTTAGAATAATTACAATTGATTTTGCAAACCTTTCTAAAACTGCTAATGTGCATTAGTTTGACTTGTAGCAGTAGGCTTCAAATGAACAACTAATTTGACTATATTTTGACTGTGAATATGGTACTTGTCAAGGTATTTTTCCGAGTGTATTCATAATGTATGAAGTTTACGAAAGTATTCTGTTCTATGGCAGTAGGTATCTGTTAGTGTGCTCAGTGATTACTCATTTTTGACTGAAGGTTAAAGTCCAAGACCATCACTTTATTGTGTTAGTGGGAACTCCTCGCACTAAAAATCGAATTTTTGTAGTGTATAATGTCTTCAGTTTGGTTTATTTCATGACTAAGACAACAGAACCGTGAATTGGATTTTTACTGCAACTTCTGTCGGTCTCCGAATTCGAACTTCAAAGGGATAGCAACATCCATCTGTCCAAGTTATCTAAATTCTTTATATTGTATTGTAAAAAGACGTTGTAATAGTAAAATGAAGCATATGTGCAAACAGATAATAAATAACGATCATTTATAAAAAGATAGAAATCGGTATCTATTTGTGTTGATATGATTTATTATAAACCATATGCTCTGGCGAATTCCGCAACTAGTTTTGATTTTTAGACTGCCACAGTTTCGAAATTCTCTTTATTAATTAAACCAATCACTGACTACTTTTAAGATTCCTATTACTTCTCGATGTAGTCACTTTTAATCCTTACTATTCCTACTATAACCTATAGTTCCGCTACTTATTGACCCCCGCCCATGCGGCATATATTTCATTCACCAATCGGACTTCTAACTGTGTCGTAGATTCCACTGTCAAGTACTACCCGAATATATAATCAGTGTAAGTACATGCAGTATCGAGAAATCTACAAGCTAACAAAAACTATCTTTTAGTTCTTAAGTACCCACGATAGAAAATTACAAGGAAAATCGCAATAAAAATTATTGTCACTAGGGTGATCTAAAGTTTTTCAACTTGTTCTTTTCTTTTTAGTTTTGCAAGGGGTTGCTGACTTCCAATATTCTTGTTGCGCCATGCTCACTAAAAGCAAGTGCTTGAGGAGAGTAAAACAACCTGTTCACTCAAATGAAATGCTAGTATTCCAGCGAACCTCAACCTAATAAATATTTTAGCTTATATATATATTCAGATGTTCTATCATGTTTTTGTAGGGAATCTAATTCGAAAAAATAGTATGTAAAGTATATTACTTCACTGTAAATAACAATAAAAAATTTGATTTCGTTTTCTTATAGATATCAATGTATGGTTGGAATACTGTCACTTCGCAATCTCTACTTCGGATTTTAGTTCTGCGGATAGTATAAAGCAAGCGGAAGTCATTTTTGAATCTGCTTTGTCACATCAAGGACTTAATGTTGTTGGGGGTTCGATGCTATGGGAGATCTATCGTGAATATCTCACTGTAGTGTGGTCTCAGCTACCACAAGATCATAAGGTTAGGAATATCTGTTTGCTTCATGAAAAATGTAACAGTTTATTTTTCTTATCACCTTTTGACCTTTGAGTATTTCACACTGTGGCACATCTTTATTATTCACGAGTCCTCCTCATGTGTTCAAATAACCTATTATTTTGTCTATAACTCCCATGTAATCTGATGTATAGTTCTCTCTTCTCAACATAATTGTTGAACGTGATCAACCTAAAGCCATTTACTGTTTATTAAGCAGGAATCATTAAAATTGAAGCAATTTCAGTGCTTGCATACTTCTTAGGTTATCTTGCAATATAGTCTAAGAACATAATTTGTTTATGATCTAATATTTCCTTGTTAGGCTGCCTAGTGTATTTGTAAATTAATTCTTTGTCAGTGTGTAAAAATAATGCGTCACAAAATAATTAAGTTAAATAGAATTTTAGAAAACCCTTAAAAATTTATCGTCGTATAAATCATAAGCGCTGCTGTCAAGAGTAATGCAAATTTTTAACTGCTACCGGTTGATTTTACATTTATTAAGACTTATTTTCCGATTAGATGTTTGTGTGCTTTGTTCCAGGCCACTTTTTGTGTAATGAGTATTGGTACTTTCCTGCTGCTGATAGCCGTTTACCGAGTACCGATTTGCATATCAGTAAAGTAGTCCGTACGTTTGTCAACTTCAATCTGCTGGACGAAAGTACTAGTGAATGGGAATCAGCCAGTCACAGTTCCCCTTACTCCTCATCTTTATCTAATAGAATAGTTACTTACTTACTTACTTTCGCCTGTTACTCCCAAAGGAGCATAGGCCGCTGACCAGCATTCTCCAACCCACTCTGTCCTGGGCCTTCTTTTCTAGTTCCATCCAATTCTTATTCATTTTTCTCATGTCTATCTCCATTTCTCGGCGTAATGTGTTCTTTGGTCTTCCTCTTTTCCTTTGGCCTTGAGGATTCCATGTGAGGGCTTGTCTTGTGACGCAGTTGGGTGCTTTCCTCAATGTGTGTCCTATCCACTTCCAGCGCTTCTTCCTGATTTCTTCCTCCGCTGGGATCTGGTTTGTTCTCTCCCACAGTACGTTGTTGCTAATAGTGTCCGGCCAATGGATCTGAAGTATTTTGCGTAGACAATTGTTAATAAACACCTGTATTTTCTGGATGATGGCTTTCGTAGTTCTCCAGGTTTCTGCCCCATACAGTAGAACTGTCTTGACATTTGTATTGAAAATCCTGACCTTGGTGTTGGTTGACAGTTGCTTTGAGTTCCAGATGTTCCTCAGTTGTAAATATGCTGCTCTTGCTTTGCCGATCCGCGCCCTCACATCTGCATCAGATCCACCCTGTTCATCAATGATGCTGCCCAAATACGTAAAGGTTTTTACATCTCCCAAATCTTCTCCGTCAATTGTGATTGGATTGGTGCATGCTGTGTTGTATCGGAGAATCCTGCTTTTCCCTTTGTGTATATTGAGACCTATTGCTGCTGAGGCTGCTGCCACACTGTTTGTCTTCTCCTGCATCTGTTGTTGCGTTTGGGATAGAAGGGCCAGATCGTCTGCGAAGTCTAGATCATCCAACTGCATCCTAGATGTCCATTGTATCCCGCGCTTTCCTTCAGATGTTGACGTCTTCATGATCCAGTCGATCACCAGGAGAAAGAGAAAGGGTGAGAGTAAGCAACCTTGCCTAACACCGGTCTTCACTTCGAACGACTTTGTCAACTGTCCTCCATGCACGATTTTGCAGTGTAATCCATCATATGAGTTCTGTATGATATTGACTATCTTCTGAGGCACGCCGTAGTGTCGAAGAAGTTTCCATAGTGTTGTTCTGTCCACGCTATCAAATGCCTTTTCGTAGTCAATGAAGTTGATGTAGAGTGATGAATTCCATTCAATTGATTGTTCCACAATGATCCGTAGAGTTGCGATTTGGTCTGTACACGATCTATCCTTACGGAATCCTGCCTGTTGGTCACGAAGTTGGGCGTCTACGCAGTCCTTCATCCTGTTTAACAATACTCTGTTGAAGACTTTTCCCGGTATTGAGAGAAGAGTGATGCCCCTGTAGTTATCACACTTGCTGAGATCGCCTTTCTTCGGTATTTTGATCAGTAGTCCTTCTTTCCAGTCTGTTGGTACTTGTTCCTCATCCCAAATCGTATTGAAGAGAATGTGGAGTATCCTTGCAGTTGCCGCTACGTCTGCTTTTAGTGCCTCCGCTGGGATGTTGTCCGGTCCTGCTGCTTTGCCACTCTTGATTTGTCTGATGGCCATGCTGATTTCTTCAATTGTTGGTGGGCCAACATTGATTGGGAGGTCCGTGGGTGCTGCTTCGATGTTGGGTGGGTTCAGTGGAGCTGGTCGATTCAACAGTTCTTTGAAGTGTTCTACCCACCTGTTTTGTTGCTCTTCAATGTTGGTGATTACCTCGCCTTCCTTGCTTTTCACTGGTCGTTCTGGTTTGCGGCGATTTCCAGAGAGTTTCTTTGTCGTGTCATACAGTTGTCTCATGTTTCCTTCTCTTGCAGCCTTTTCCGCCGTCGTTGCTAAATCTTCCACATATTTACGTTTGTCGGTTCTGATACTCCTCTTCACTTGTTTGTTTATTTCCGTGTATTCAGCTTGTGCCTTGGCTTTTTCTGCTCTTGTTCGACTGGTATTGATTGCTGCCTTCTTGTTCCTTCTTTCTTGAATCTTATCCAGTGTACCAACAGTGATCCATTCCTTGTGGTGGTGCTTCTTGTGACCCAGGACCTCATGACATGTTGAAGTGATTGCCTCTTTGATCCCCTTCCAGTTGCTCTCCACAGTAGTTCCTTTTCCATTGAGTAGATCATGAAAGGCCTGGAACTTGTTGCTGAGGACTATCTTGAATTCGTTGAGTTTATTAGTATCCTGGAGAAAGGCCGTATTGAACTTTTGTGATACTGTCTGCCCCGTTGTCCAGTGCTTCTTGAGTTTCAATTTCATCTTGGCGACCAGTAAGTGATGATCTGATGCTATATCAGCTCCTCTCTTGGTTCTCACGTCCTCTATAGTCCTCCTGAACGTTTTGTTGATGCAAATATGGTCGATTTGGTTTTGTGTAGAGTGATCCGGTGAAGTCCATGTGGTTTTGTGTATGCGTTTATGTGGGAATATGGTGCCGCCTATGACCAGCTTATTGAAGGCACATAGGTTTGCAAATCTCTCACCATTTTCGTTTCTTTCTCCCAGTCCGTGTCGTCCCATGATGTCTTCATATCCAGTGTTGTCCGTTCCAACCTTGGCGTTGAAATCTCCCATCAGAATGGTCAGGTCCTTTGTTGGGCACTTCTCGACTATTGACTGCAGCCTATTGTAGAATTGATCTTTCGCGTCTTCATTGTAGTCGTTGGTAGGTGCATAGCATTGGATGATGTTCATTGAAATACCCTCTTTCTTTGTTTTAAACGAGGCTTTGATGATCCTTGGTCCATGAGATTCCCATCCTATAAGTGCATTTTGTGCTTGTTTGGACAGCATCAATGCAACTCCTTGTGTATGTGGTGCATTTTCTTCTTCATGGCCGGAGTATAACAGGAGCTCTCCTGTAGTTAGTCGTTGTTGTCCAACTCGTGTCCAATGTGTTTCACTGATCCCAAGTACCTCTAGGTTGTATCTTCTCATTTCTGCAGCAATCTGGAAGGCTCTTCCGGTGTCCCACATTGTACGAACATTCCATGTACCTAAATAAATGGTTGCTCTGGTTGTCAGAAGGGGCATCGGCCTCATAACTTCCGAAGGGATTCGGCTTTCATCATGAGGCGTCATAATTCTTCTAAATGAAGATCTTCTGACTCCCAGGGCAGAGTTTAAAAGGTTTGAATAATGTTTTCTGGTTAGCGTTTTTTTAGCGAGTTAGTTTTCTACGGGATGGGGACGCTAACCCCATGCCCAACCCTCCTCCTTTATCCGGGCTTGGGACCGGCAGTAGCCCCCGGAGGGACTCCAGGCATTAAAATTAACTGTCAGGTTTTAAATCAAATGGTTGAGTGCGTTTGTGATTGTTAAAATTGACATTAGAGTAACAATGTATTAATCCTTCATTCTGTAGATTTCCATAATAAACCTTTGGTTGGTCATTCCAAACAAAACTGACGATATTACTACTTTGGTTTGAGCGACTGCGTACTATAATTAGCTTTCATACTGAAGTATCTAGTGAATCAGTCAATTTAATTAAAAATATGATTCGTAATTGGTTTTCTATATTTGGAGTGGGAAACAATTTATTATTTTTTTTGTTTAATTAGGAAATGAAACTACAACAACTGAATAAAATGGACCGTCTATTTCAGCGTCAACTCAGCATTCCACATTTGAGTAAGCTATTTCTGAAAGAATCTTTCAATCACCTTTACATTTCTCCCAACTGTGATTTTGAATCCAGGACCTTTGGTCTCTCGCGCGAAAGCTTAACCCATAAACCACTGAGCCAACATCCGATCGTGTTAATGTTTAACTTCAACCAATCCGCGATGTCGCACGACCATCTTCAATTGTCTTCGGTGGGTAACTGCCCCATGCCTGACACGGTTGAACATTGATCGGCTCGTGAATTTAATGAAATTCCGCATTCTCCACAATCCAAAACTAAAATTCTAAACAACTATTGCGGCCATCTTGTTGTACCTAAATAATCCTATCAATAAATACTGTTAATTAATAAACAAAATACACCATTCTCCGTTTCTCCGCTTGTCCATTATGCTGCAAACATGAGCATTTGGTTCCTCGTAACAATAGGTTAGGAGCTAATTGTTCAACGATTTCGATAACCTATAAACTGCAACTCAGGTTTCACAGTCGAACTGCTTTCGAAATTCCACTTTGATGAAGATTGAACTAGTATTTCTGTTTATTTTCCAGTGTATACTCTACTGCAGATCCGGATACTTATTTAAATATTCAGCAACATCATTGAAACTATTTCGAATTGAATAGCCAGTTGTTGAATGCATTCTGTTACACATACCAGAAAAATAGTCGAACTCTACCGGTGTAAGACAAGGCCTATATTCATGAAGTTATTGTTTACTCTTGGGATCCCTATGGGAGGAAAAGTGTGCATCATTTGGTGATCAGGTTTTATAACATATCACACTAGACAGAAAGTCTAATGTTTTTAGCCACCTAAACACAATAAAATAACGTACATTCTTGCTCTATAAGTTCTGTTTTTATTGTTCCCCAATTAACTTTTTCACCTTTGATAGGACTTTATTTTCCCATTCATTATAGATATGGAGGAGACATTAACTGAATATAAAACTTTCCTGTCTGATATTGGTGTAGAACTATATCAACCAAGGGAAAATTCAGATTCCTTTGTACCACAAGAAATCAAAACGGAATATGAGAAAGCTTTAGAGCGTTTGGCTGTTATTTTACCATTTGAGGAATCCATAGAAGTAAGTGGGGTAAATGAGTTACTTTGTCAAGGTCTGTTATGGGAACTGTTTATAAACCTTAAATGCATGTGTAAGCTATGCGAAGATTCTCCACACAATACTTTATTGGCGAAATATTTCTTGTTTTATCCCATCAGGGTGCTCACTAACCAGTAAGTGGGAAGAATGTTTCTAGGCCATCGGTAGTAGTGTGCAGATTTGGTGCTATATTGTAGATTTACGCCTATACATTTCTGATATGTTTTGTGCTATAGATTATAAGAGTGGCCCATTTCTTTACCGTTTACACTCATGTTACAATCACAAATTTTTAAAGCAAAATTTCGTTGGAAGACGATAAGATGAAGTTGATCAAATAGTGGACATTGAAAGTACTTAATGTTATCAGGCTGCAACCTTGAACGTCCTTATTACCTTATTGATAAAAGTAGTCATTATATGTCATGGTTAACATAGAGCCTGTGACAAGTGTAATTTAACCGATATTATCACTCTTCATATTAGGATAGGGAAAGAATATTAACAAGCTTAAAATCAAATGAGTTGGGATATTAGTACTAATGTTAGTTTAAAAAAACATGAGAATTAATTTTAGTGATTATGGAGGAATCAATGCATTTGTGCCACTATGATCGATTTAATAACATAAAAAGAAGGGGAAGTAAATTAATTAAGAAAAGTGACGTTTATTCATGAGAATTGAGCACAATTGCTAGAAACATCTAACCTACCTATCTACTCTATACAACGTCTGACATTACAGCTTTAATCTTCAACTGAGAAAAGTTCAAAATGAGCTCAATGTATTAGACGAATAAAACGAGGAAAAATTATACAATCCGGGAACAGATCAATGTTGACCCATGAAATTAGATTTGAAAAAATATAAAGATTGTTCTTAGGATGTTTAATTCAAGCTCTAAGGTCACAGGTCTAAATCTCGCTCGACCTACTTCCATTTAAGAAACCAGTAAATTTAAACCAAGTACACAAATGTATTCCATTAATTTCGAGTCATAAGACCTCAAATTTCTAACTGCTGCTACTATCTCTCTCTTCACCCTGACCAAAGCGCTTGCTGTTCCATAACACTCGTCTGAATTAATGAATCAGAACATGTCTACTTATTCAAAAAATCAACAGTTTAGGGTTGAGTGGATTTGTTATATTATTCTCATGTTTTAAACGATTGAGTTGACGTAGAGGTTGCGTGCATTAAAATATTCATTGTTGTTGCTATTTTTGGTGGTAATGTCTTTTCAAGGTATTCTCATATATTAGAAGTGATTTTTTACTACGCTTATTTTATTTAAGGAATCTACTGACAAGTCAGAAGCGGAATCTGTTTCCAGTTGGAATACGTATATTGATTGGGCGGTTCATTGTGCGAAACGAAAAAAGCCTAAAACATCTAAAAATACTGATAGTAAGAATAATGAGAACATTTCTAACAATTTTGTTGTATCACCTAATGAGTTATGCTGTCTTTTCGAGCGTGCTATTACAGCACATTGTTTAGATACATCTTTTTGGATACGTTATGCAGACTATGTGGTAAGTTGTTTATTATTTCAAATGAATGTCAGCAGTATTTATTTTTTTACAGTTTAGTGTTTCACCAGTACAACCTTATAGTAATAATCAAAATAATGTTGTATACAAACTTGAAACAAGTAACTAGAAAAACAATAAGTTGGAACTATCATATTCAGTATGTCTTGAACTACCATTCGATCTGTATATCGTATATTGCTTTTAATTAATTGAATGAGAATGAGTGGTTCGATTGTTAGTGGTTTCTGTTTACTTGAAAACAAATAGTTGATCGAGTGAAAAAACAAAACGTTTCTACATTGTCTTTCTTGTTTTGTGTGGATACTCGGGTTTTTGAATACGTTTTTCCTTTTATATGTCATGATTGTTTGTTGTTATTTACCAGACAACCGTAACCCAATTGAATTGGATCATTCAGTAGACATTAATGACCATTAAACCTGAATATACGCTATCATGGAATATTCTTTATCTCAGGAATAATTATCACGGAAAATATACATTGAAATGTTGTCTTATTTTAAAGGAAAAATACTCATATGTTTATAAGGTAATTCGGCATCAGTTCGGTTTAGCGAACATTTAAAGTGTAGTTATATCGTGAATTAGATCACTCTTTTTATAGCAGCTTATTTTAAATATTAACAGAACATTGTATTCTTTGTAGTGAATTGTTTATTCTCTTCCTCTGTGGCATTATTACTCAAACCGAAATCAGTGAGGCGGGTTTCAGACCTGTGATCTGTTAATTTAAAGTGGAGTATTTTTATCATTAAGACATCGATTTACGTATTCGTCGGTCATAACTTGGAAATCAACGAACAATCGTTGTACCGTTTGATACTGTACGAAACATTAGTACCGTCTCTCGTTGAGTATGAGATTGGAATTCTTGTTCGGAGTCACATTATAAGAATAGGAACTTATCTGTTCTAGTTTTAGTGTGGCTGAAATGAACTCCAAAATACAAAAAAAAAACTTGTACTAAGTTGATTAGTGGGGACAGTTTAAAGTATAACTGATAATTGTAGTAAGAACGTCAAATTCAGTAAAAATTCATGTATTATTTTTTTAAATAAAACTAGTATAGCTAAAAATAAAGGAAGTGAATTCGTCGAAGTTGTAAAAAGGATTTTACAGGGTGCAGATACATGAATATCGTGGTTTTTATTTACTATGAAAAAGACTGTATATTTATCGCTTGTCGTCTGAAGATTCTGAACGGGTTAACTAATAGCGGTTACTGGTTGTACAGTTTTACTTATTCTTCTGTTCATTCAAAAATTTCAGTAAATTGTTCACTGCAAATACCTGTCATCAACTGTAAGTTTGTTAATAATTAAAAAACGATGGACATGTTTCATTTAAATTTCGGACTTCTCATGCACCCACAACCTCACTTCGGCTCTAGACCTCAACCTTCAGGTTTTGTGGCAATTGCGGTATCTTAAGTTAACAGCCATAATCCCGTGACCCACTTGTCATGGTGTTTAAAAATCGTTTGCTGATTTCATCGGTGAATCATCCGCAAATCCAGTCAAATTAGGTTAAATTTACTTCATAAGTCAGCCGCTCACGGGTAATCTTTGCGAATTAAAGTTTGGAATGACGCATATTGTTACATATTCTTTTCGAGCTTTTTCTAAAAATTCTGCTATCTTTATCCCCTAGACAACAGAAATCTCGTAATTGCCAAAAAACTTGGATATAAATGTTGTAGGCTCCGTGATTCCAGTCACTTGTGTTTTTCAGGAATCGACCTTCTACCAGAAGATTCGCTTGTGGACTTAGGATATGAAAATGATATAGCTCTGCTAGATAAAAATACTGACAAAATACAGTCTTTTAACTTCTTTCCGTAATAAAATAATGGTTTGCAGAATGCGATTCTCTCCCTCTAAGTACAGGCTTGTTTCAGAACTGATGATAGCGAGTGAAGTAGTTGAGCACGTCAACCACTTTACTTTCTGTGCGTCTTATTAGACCCAGTTGGTTAGTGTCTGACATCTCACCGTGGATTCAGAAAACTCGGTTAAGTTTCGTCAACTTGAGCTGCTTGAAGTGTCGGTGAGATGTCAACCAAGAGATAAGTCCACTAAGTAGTAGTATGCTTTGTTTTACTTTATGACTTAAACAGTTTTCAAAATACAGTATATTAATAGGCTACTAGTTCTTGATCATAGGTGTTTTCAAAACATTGTTCATGTATGCTGCGATCACTTATTGAGCAATGTTGAAGTTAGGTGCAGGGTATTAGATGAAAATAGCAAATCAGTTAATGAGGTATTGAAACTTAAACAGCTACGATGGTTGAGATATTTGTTACGTATGTTGAACTACCGTCTAACTCGACGGGCGCTTTTGTTTGGTGTAGGAGTGAACTAGAAGAAAGCTAGTGGCAACCAAATCAAGACATGGAATCAGTCCATCAGATTACTGATCACTGAAATTCACCAGTAGGTCGGTAGGTCCAGGCTAAACTACCTGGGGTGTGCTTCATTACCAATTAATAGTTAGAGACTTTGGGTGACACGACATTGTTTGAAGTGGCACAGGTGCACTCATTTTTTGTCTTCACTAGATCCTGCGTTTTAAAATTATTTTACCTTTTTTCTCATTCCACTGGTCCATATTTTCCCCTCGAATCATATTTTCTATACCTAATCTTTTCTGCTACAATTGATACTGTTACTAATTCTACTACTCTGGAAATTTAAACGAACATTAACATATATTTACAGCTCCGTACAGTCAGTCCTCTTGAAAAGCTTTTGTAGCGTAAATAAACCTCTGTTTTGGGATAGAGTGAACCCATTTTATTTCCTCTACTATTATTCTACGAATACTCAATAGTTTTATAAATTCGATCTTATGTGAGACGCCTATTACGTAATTCAGTTTGCTAGTAAATAAAGACCATGATTACTTTCAACAACATCTGATACACTTTCGACGTAATTATGCTCTTATATTTCCAGGAATCTCAGCTAGAAACGGATGTTCTGCGTTTGCAAAAGTTATTGTCTCGATCAGTTCGTAATTGTCCTTGGTGTGTCGAGTTATGGCAGCGTTATGCATTAGTCACTGAAGCTGTGATTCTTGAAAATATTTCATTCAAATCAAATACCAATGGAACACAACAGGAATCTGTTTCCAATGAGTCTGATCTATTTAAAGAGGTTGATGGTATGCTACTTTAAAAAATTGTTTTGTAGTTATTTTAGTCATATTACAGTTATGTATAACGCCTAATGATGATATATAGGTTAATATATGGGAATTAGTGAAATACACTAAGTATTGTCTGAAGTCTTAGCGATGTTAATTGTCACTGGTAACTAAATTAAGCTGATTGATTGTAAAATTCCGAATATCACAATCGACTGTCGACTATGCAGTAAGGTTCAAGATGAAAAAAGATCAGTATTTTTTTTACCTTATAAATTTCTTATGTTTTCGTAAGTAATTCACTGTTCACTTATACTGTCCATTGTCTTTTGACATACTTTTCTATGTAAGTCGAAGTAAACAAACAATTTCACACCTCGTATGTAATTGATTTCGATTAAGTTGGTTTCTTTGAACTTAATCACTTGATTTCAAAGCCGTTGTTATCATACATTCAAGATAGAATCTACTCTTTAAACTTAATTAATAATGCTGATTGAGTTTGTTTTGGTTATGATGACTATAATAAAATATCTTCAATAGTTTTATTATTCCATTGAATTTATGTGATTAGCCACTAATTTACATATTTTAAATCGTTCAAAATTCATTTAACTCAATAAGGTAATTGTAAACATGAAAAGTTAAATTTTTAAATATTTTCACTGGTGATTATGTTGATGTTTATCAAAAATAAGAAAATTTCAATTCGCATACTAATTTTCATCACGAACAAATATCAATTGATATCTTCTAGTTAATATTGCCCTGGTACGACCGCGGGTGGAGAAAGTCAGCTCTCCCTCCTCGAAATGCTCTTACACGGCCACGTGTATACAGCCACTTCCAGGGAATGTTCTACTTACTACCTTCTCGCGGTAGAGATTTTGTTTACGAAAGCAAGAGGACGAAAAGCGAAAACCCGGCGCGTTAACTGGGTTGATGAATATAGACGATCCACCTAGGGGAGTTGGAAAACCCTTATTCCAAACCAAGAGTGAACGTGGGCTCCAGGATCCTGAGGGAACGAATGGCGTATGAACTTGCTGTTGGTCACCGACTACCATGAAACTGCGTCTCCACTACCTTTTGGAATAGACCTTTAGGTCAAAGGCTCTGGGTGTGGCCTTCGAAGAAAACCAGCTGCTTCGGTTTGAGCGCCTGGGCAATATTCCGGCCCTCATCCAAATTAAATGACAAAGTGTGACGCATATGTATTTGGTGCCTCCTTGTGCCAATGTTTATGTGCTTAAATAAATAAGTAAATAAACATCAAATACATATTTTGTACGTGTTTGTTTACCTGTTCTTTGTTATGAATCCATTACAGGTATATATGAAACAGCTCTAGCAGCTGGTTTCACTAATCCAGATGATGTATTGAAAATTTGGCGTAGTTATTGTGATCATCATTTGCGTAGACTTCTTTTATTAGATAAGAGTTCTTTATCTTGGGGTAAGTTCTAGAACTAATCCCATTCATTTTCTTATTATTCTACCTCATTATATTGGATTTTAATTTTGGTGTCTATTTACATATAACTATGTTATAATTGCCTGGAGGTAACTGACACTGAACCTAGGTTTTGCGGATGGTTGGCACGATTCAACAAGACGAATTGAAAAGATTCAAGGAACTGACGTTAGATCCCTTACCTCAGAGATTTTTGAACTGCAAGCAATGTAGAAATAATCAAGTCCTACCGATTTGCACTAAGGGCTGAATATTATGACTGGTTACTACAAAGTGATTAGTTAATGTATAGATATTGATTGCTTACAATCTTGAGTTTATGTAATTCGTAAAGCAGTTGGTTCAATATTGACAATCAATGAAGCCGCTTCAATTTTGTTCTGACTTCAGTATTTGGAAACTTATTCAGAAACTTCTGGTTATGAGACACTGTTAATTGACCTTAATATTAAAACACTGCTTACACATAAGTTAGATAAGCTTCATTATATAATTTAAATGTTGGTTAAATAGATATTATGAAATCTGTCACAATATTCACACTTTCACGGAGAACTTATAATGAAACAATAATACTTAAAATACCAGGGTATAATAAAGCAAGGACGGTGGATAAAAAGGAAAAAAACCTGAAATGTCGTTTTTACTCAACGTTAATTCACCTTTATCGTGTCTATGACTAGTCATTCTCAACATAGCACAGCAACCTGTAACTAACCATAATTAACTCATATCTCAACCACTAATAGGATATTCTTAATGAATTTCTTTTTACTATGACATAAACTGAAATATTCTTTCTTTATAACCTTTTTCTTCTATTTTTAGAATATCGACTGTCATTACTTCGAGCAACATTTGGTCGAGCTATAGAATATTGTTTTGAATGTAAGTTCATTCTGAAAATGACTATAAACATGCATTTAATGATTTAATACTATAATAACAATTTGCATATTTGAAAGCTCCAATCACAGGGAAAAATAATATCCATATAAATAAATATTCTATATATCTGCTATTCAAAATGAATTCAATATGTTGTGAACAGCTATGATGTATGTAATCAGTCAGTGTTGGAAAATGCCGTATTGGGGGAAAACTTAATCCGAATCAATAAAAAAAACAGGACATGAAAATATGAATCTAGTTCCTTAAGACTTCCGAATTTCATAGTTAATCCGCAAAAACATCTCAAACTGCACTATAATTACCTTGTTTTCTTTCACTGTTATTATCAGTTTTTACAGCTGAGAAATTTCAGTGTCCATGATGTGGAATTTCTCAAATACAACTTGTGAGTACGGCAACCAATGTTGATTTAAGATGATTGTAAGGTCAACTTTCAACACATTTTCGTTACATTACTTTATGAACTTTCAGTGGATTTTCACTGTGATTTGTGTTTAGTGATAAACACCCAGTTCATTAATTCTAGTCATTGTGACAGTCATCACTTACAAAACTATGATTCAGAAACCGAGCTTCACTCTCTCTAGTCAGTGTGGCGCAAGGAAGAACAGAAAAGTAGTTTTGTTCACTATATTCAAATCTGGATTGCGAATATATTAGTTTAATATATCGATTATCTCCCAAACCGGTTGGTTAAAAAGTGATGAAAGATATTACTAGTTTGTATTCTTGATTGTTGACCTATTGAATCAGTGTGTAGAACTGAATAGCAGCATTATCCTACAGAACACCAAAGTCTAGATTAGGATGATTATTGTACGATGACGTTGTTTAGAAGCACTAACTACTATTCAGTTGCTGAGTATTATGATGACCAATATAATACATCAATGATATCAATTTTGTAAAGCAAACTTAATTATTTAATGCCAGCAATCACGAGATCTGTGTTCAACTCCTTTCAGTTTCATTCAATGTAACATACACAGTGATTACTATACCGCATGGAGTTTTTTTTAACTTTAGCAGTTATATTGCAAACGTAATCTCTCTATATACATATAGTTTTTTTCTCGCAAACAGACTTCAAACTGAAGCGACATTCAAGACCAAGAAGCATCAGATTACTTTTTTTATCCCAGCATGGGAATTTTCAGCAGTACGCTTACATAACTCCTCCAGAGGTTGGGCCTAGGGTCTCCAAGCCTCCAGCTGCGAAATTCATATCTCAATAATTTCGTTTGGATTGAGCATAATAAATATTACTACATTAGTTATTGTTTCCTGATTAATTTATATTTTCAGTTTCACATACTTGAGGTACCTTCAATAATGTTATATTTTCCATTTATAGTATTGCACTCTCAATCAAATGTTGATTGGTCACTTTTAAATTATTATGCATTTGTTGAAGTGAGTTTCTTTTACATTCTGAATGAACTATGTACTTCTTATTTCTACATGATTTTGTGGGAAGAAAGCAAATTAGATAAAATTCCTTCAGATTTCTACCTCAATTTTTAGTAGTCGAGATCGTAGTAATACTCTACTAATAAGGTTATGGATTATACATTTCTCACTTAATGAGTTTTAAAATGTGAATTTAGGTTAGAACATTCATCGAGAATCTGATGTTTAAAACTCTTCCTTTATTTAAAGTTAGTGCATCGGTCAAGTCTTTAAAATGCCTAAAGTATTTGATAGATGATAAAAACTGTAAATGATTGTACTTCAGTATCGTGGTTGAATACTAGAACTAGATCAAATCAGTGTGTTTAAATCTCATGATACCAACTGTCATTCGTAAGAAATTAAAATAACCGAATATCAAGCCAGTGAAGATACAGTAACAAATACAAGCTGCAGTACACTGTTAAGGATTCATAAAGATAAATGGCGATTCATTAGTTGTAAGTGTAAAATGGGATGATAATAAACCAAGAAATAAGACTCAAGTTAAAAAGTACTCATACAAAAATTCAGGTTAATTAATGAGTTAACAGAGTGTATTTAACACTATGAACAATCCAAGAGAATTCGATGTCTCATCGTTTTCACTGTGTATCTGAATACGTTTTCGTGAATTCATCCATTGTAGTTGGGTGCAAATAACTTTTGAGTTCTAAGCAGTCCTCATAGTAGTTGTTCTATTTTTTGATAGTTAGAGAGTTGTTAACTATTATTTTAATGATTCCTGCTTTATGGGAACATCAATGCTTTTGTGCACTTCAATCGATCCACAACATTGTGCCACCATCTTTAGTGAGTAATTGCATCGCCCGATACGGTTTAGCCCCACTGTCTACAAATGCTTACTAGAACTCTGAAGGTTGTGAATGTTCAGTACAAGATAATTTTCGGTATCGGGTTGAGGAGATAGTTATATATACCATAGTAACCAATAGAAATAGGTGTGAATTACGTTAGATCACTATAGTACGCAGATTATAACACTGTAAAGGTGTGAAAAATTGTAATAAAGACTTATTGTAACTACATCAACAGTTTATGGTAATACTGATTCAGATTAATAATGACAGTTTTTAGTGACCCTGTATCTGACTCAAATGAAGTTGTGTGCTGATTGTTATCAAAATATACATGCCACCAATTTTCGTATAATTTTATTGACTTAATTCACGTTAGAGAATAATGGGATAAAATAAGCCAAATGCGAGAATGAACTGTGAATATGTATATTTCATACAGTATTTGATTCAGACAGACAATCAGGGAAACGAAATGAAAGGAAATGGTGCGCAGCGGAGATGGCGAGTGAGCCAACTCGTTTTGTTTAGGCGTGACTCGGTATTTTTCGTCAGACCACAAATCAGTCATGGATACGTAATGAATAAGGCAAGCAATCAACTTACATACGAGCATATAAAAACAATCGGGGTCAAAATATGGCTTGAGAAGAGTAATTAAATTGGTCTGTCCAGAAGCTAGAGTAACCTATAATGGGCTTGACATAGTACCAACCACCACAAGTTTTTTAAATCAGTGATCGTACTAAGCTACGAAAATTGGGACCTCAACCTGTTAAATCTCTTTATGTCCATAGAATTTACCACAGACTTACATCAACTACTAACTATTGTGAACAAGACAAAAGCAGTAATTCATTGCAGCAAAACAGTAACAAGAAGTTGATTATAACGTGACTGCATACTAAAACAGACAGTAGTTGAGATCAGATCACTCGGTTTCTAAGCTTGTGCATGCTAATCTCTCCATTTATTAATTGAATCACATTTGAAAATTTTTATTACTCATTAAGAACATTGTACAGAATGTGTGTTAAAAATTTCATATTTCAGGTTTTCAGTTTAAATGTTGAGCATGTTGCACTTGTTTCTTTTTCATTTTTCAGGCAAAGTATGTGGAAGATAAAGAGCGTGCTCGTTCTCTTTGGACAAGTTTAATAAAGTTACCTGGACATGGGAGTCGAGCTGAATACTGGATACCTTATATTCAATTTGAACAGTTAGTAGTTAGACATTTTATCTTTATGTTGTTTAGTTTTATGGAATGCTCCTTTTATTTATATTCTGAACTGACTGAAAATCAATTTAATATTTTTCTCTTCATGTGATTATTGATTCTTATTTACTAGGCAAGTAACAAGCCGTTGGTTGTACTCCAAACATTTTGGTATGAAGGCTAATAATATCACTCAAATCTCGATAGATTTGGCGAGGTTCGAATTCCAAATTCATTGTCTGAGAAGATATATTCATTAAATCTTCTACTGTATTTGTGTTTTAAGAGATATTCACCACCTTTACCTGAACAGGACATTTGATTACTAATCCTTTAAGTCATTGATTTTCGTTTTTTATCGAAAACAAGGAAATTCCACCCTACGTACAGCGTTACGTACAGCATTTGAAAAGATATAATTACTCTCAAAAAAGGATTTCTGTAACTCAGCGTAGTTCGTGTATGTAAGTATATGCAAAGGGTAATCGTGTGGTGTTGTACAATGAAGAAGTTAGCTGAAGTAGTGTTTGACTTATGTCTAAAAAATCAGCAACCTAATTTATCAGGTCGAAGACATAATAAAAAAGATATTGTAGCAAACACTAGGAAGACGTGATCAGTAACCTCCCCTGAGAGAGTGGTTATGCTTATGTGTGTATCTTGAAGTACTGGGGCGGTAGCCGTAGGTTCAATGATATGCATGTGATGTGTGATAGACAATCTATTGTAGCAAATACATTTCAAAATGAGCAGTGAACGTCTACCCTCCAAAGTCGGTGAATATACCTATATGTATGCTTTGGGATGCACGGGATTAAACCCGTGCGTTACCGGTATGTATGTAATGTATATTTGCTGACGGGGAGGTATGCCTGTATGTATACCAAGTGATACACGGACGAAAGTCCTTGTGTCACCTAGTATGCATGTAGACTATGCCTATCCAGGGTAAGTAAAAGCCTCAAATAATCTTTTATTTACTCTCCTTGGTGCTACTCCCACACGCCAAGACCTGCAGGGCAATGGTTCCCCATAAAATCACATCTACGTGGTGGGTTTGTGGGCCTTGAAAACATGAGATCCATTCCAGAAGGGCCACTGAGCTTCATCAAAAAGACTCTACCAACCAATCTGGCTGGAACACCGTACCACTGAGCTATACGTGCAACGATTGATCTCCTGTAGGCAGATGTATTTATAATTGATTGATCACTGGATAGCGACCTATGTCAAGTTCTTCTTAGTGCTGATCGCTTTCTTATGCCCGGCAATGTGATATGACCGTTTTTCAATGAAAAAAATGTTTGTTTATCTTTTTCTTTCTTGATTGCACCATTAACTTTGTAGGACTTGGGGTGATATGAAAAATTTACTTCGAATATGTGCTATGGCTATTAATTCAATTAATTTTGACCAATCAGAATTAGTATTTCAAGTGGTTTTACGTGCAGTTGGTGAAACTGGGGTACCTGTTAAACAATATAGAGATATTATTACAAAAATACATGCACGTCGAGCTTCTTTAATGGAGTCTGTTAAAGATGTTCAGTCGACAAAGTCAGATACTGAGGTAACTGTCCTAATTCCAAGCGAATTATCTGTTCTGAATATGCATTATTTTCTTCATTTACCTATCACTTTAATCCAGGAATAAATATGGAGGTGGAAATATTTCAGACAGTTATCTATCTTTGTGCTTGAACTCATGTTTATTTCTACACTTATGGACATTTTTCTACGACGTCTAATTTGTCTACGTGGTTCTCAGTACCTTAAGACGCTACGGAGTAAAGTTTATTTTTCGATTTGTCTAATTCACCATGTTGCATGGTGTTCACCTGGTATTTGTCGGACAATTGGAATACGCGCTCCTCAACGAGTTGTCAAATGACTTGAATTTATTTTTTCATAAAGAGAATTTTCAAGTCAATGAATAAAAACTGCAAATAATAATCCATTTAAATAGTTTTGTATGAATAGTCCATTTAAATTGTTTTTGTATGTCTTGACCAGGGCTTATTAACCAATATTGTTATTACCTCATACAAGTTCAGTGATTGAGAATGATTAGTATTCTTTTCTATTTTTCCTCTCGTAGATACCAGTTAAATTAATGGAAACCAATTTATCTGGTTCAAGAAAACGAAAACTACCTGATCATCAAAATGATGCTGCCACGTTAAAATCAGCCAAAGTTAGTTTACTGGTTCCTGTTTTACAATTTTCCACTATGTTTCTGTAATTTTGTAATCGTATAAAGCAAATTACGACATATTTCTCTTTCATAAGAATAATAGTTATTGTCAATGTACTCGTGTAGCGATTCAACATAGGTTGCTCTGCATTTAGATTTTTTTCCTAGGACCGAAGAAATTTTATAATAGAAAACTTCAGATCAGTTTCATAGTTATTTTGATGTTTCTGAAGTTTTAATTATGGGATTCATGTTCATTTGTTGTAATCATTTTTTGTACTCTTGGTGTGACAACTTTAGTACGAACCCCTGTATACACCTTGGTAATAGGTAGATAATTTGAAGTGTTTTTTGACTGATTGGTATTTGCACGTTCTGTAAGAAAATTAGCGATGTTATCGTTGTTTGGAATGGGCGACTATAGACTGTTCCCTTCAAAACCAGTGGAGCAATCGAAAAAAACGAAAAAATCAATTTAGCTATTGGTGAATCACTACAGTTTTTCAACACCGTGCAACTTACCGAATGTAAAATTTCTGTCTTCGTCAGTTATAATTAGGATTAGAAAAAATGTAACCGCCGGAATAAAATGTATAGGATTTACTTGCATAATTTGTAAAACTGGGACTGTAAGACTGGATAAGTTGTATTAAAGTCTAGGATTCATTTTCACACCCGGTTAATTACGACTCAAGTACAGCAAACGCAATAAGAATACTGTGAGCCTAGTCTTCATCGACTTTTTACCAGATGTTAGAACCCCAATTATCCTTGTTTATTCTCATCGCTAATTGTTTTTAGTGGCCAGAATGCAACATACAATTCCAAGGGTAGTATCATCTTGCAATAGTCTTTCTGTATTGTAGACTTCTAACGGGCAGCACATAGTCTTTTAAGGATTTTTATTCACAAGGTTCCACCTTGATATGGTGTATCCACTAATTCATCTGATTTCATTTTCTTTTTTTCTTTAGGTATCAAAACCTAATCCTACTTCTCATGGGACATTTGTTCCACACGATCCATCGAAAAATGAGTTTACTGTATTTGTAAGTAATCTTGATTATTCAGTCAGTGAGGAACAAATTCGGCATACTTTTGAAAAGGTGAGTTTTTTAAACAAATATTTGTTATTTTCAACCGGTCGTTTGTTAATTTGTATTCACCCATATTCTGAATTGATTGTCAACTGGTAGTATGGAATTTTAAGTTGGATAACACATCGTATTCCGTTTTTCACAGCGAACACTTATCCGCTTGATATTTCTCTGTTCAGTGGTATCGAGTTTCGGTGATCATTGTTTCATCGTTTCTCTACTCGTGAATTAACTATTCCTGATAATCATTACCCTTTATCCGTAAACAACTCACTGAAAGTGTTAAGGTATTTAAAACCAAACTATACATATTTGTCGATTATACGGAAATTATTTCATAGTGACACTATATCACTTTAGTTAACTGTATACTACAAGTTTTTTCCCACATATGCGGTATACGAGAAGCACTTTTCATATTTCGAACTTACCATTTGACTTATAAATCAATTTTACTTTCATCATTATTAGCATTGTTAACAACTGGAATAAAAGGACAATGTTTTCATCATTAAAACCGAATTCATAAATCATTTTTTTAATATTGTTAATTACCAAGCGTTGTGCAAAACTATTGAGCATCGTCAGTAGAAGGTTTTAGATATAATTTGATGATTCTCAGTGTATTTTTAACATTATGTTCACTGCTCGAGATAGTTAAACTTGTCAAACTCTCTATAAACTAAAATTCACGTCTTTTAATCGTTTACTGGTATGGTGTGTGCTACTGATGTCGATGTATATTAGTAGTATATATCATCAATCGAAAGTGTAATACATGGCTGCAGAGGGTTAAGAAGATCGAAGAAAAGAGAATGATTGGTGTGGAAACGAAGGAACAATGAAGTCTGAGACGATTGACTGATCTTTTTCAAATAAAGTATTTACTGTATGATTCTCAGATTTTACTAAGAGATTCTGTAATTTTGTGTTCAAATACATTCGATTGTCCCCACTTGTTTTCTCGTTCACTACGCTGGAAATGATTGTTCAGTGGTATGGTAGAGAAAATTTGTTATTAAACAGGTTCTTAACATTGATCTTCAGATAGAAAAGTATTTCCGTATGTTATGGAATCTATGGTGAAATACGCTTTACATAACTCCTTCCACCGAAAATTATACAACAGTATCACTATCTATATTCATCTACTAACTGCTTATATTCTTGGATTGTCAGTTTTTGTCTACGTTTCCATAGTGAGTTATTCAATGTCTGAGTTTATATATGTATGTTTTACAGTATTCAACGTTTGGTTGATGACGTCATATGGAAGTATGTCTTGGAAATAGATTCAGTCATAGACACCTATTATACCTTTAGCTTAACAATATTTATGGATGAATTTTATGCCCGTGTCATCTGTAGATATTTTCAGATACGTTTATATTGATCTATAGAATCATTGTTTATTCTGTGTACCATTACTTATACTATGAACAGTTGCTAAAATTGAACCATCCAAATACTTGACTACTTTGTTATACTACCACCAAAAGCAGTTAACTCTCTTTTTTATGACAGTGTGGAAATGTGACATCTGTTCGTCTTGTACGTGATTACGCTGGTCGGTCGAAGGGATTCGCCTATGTTGAATTCGAAAATAAAGAGTCTGTGAAAAATGCACTTACACTGGATAGACAAGGAATTACACGTCCGACCTCAGAAAGTGTGCCATGTGACCCTGATAGCCAAAAACAAAAAGAAGAGGATAATGCAACAATTCCAAAACCACCTAATTGTTATGATCGTCCAATGTTTGTATCGATATGTGATCCAAGCAGACTTAAATCATGTGGATTTAAATATACGGTTGGCAAAAAAGAACCTGAAAAGTTATTTGTGCGAAATTTAGATAAAGCTGTAAAAAATGAAGATTTGGAAAAGTTATTCAAGCAGGTTAGTTCAAGCCTACATATATAGTAATATATATGTGTAATTAAACTGATTCAGACAACTATATTTGAACAATGGCCATGGCTAGGTGGAAAATCCCCCTATTCGCAATACCCCACCTACACTTGCTTCGCAAATATATCATGCAGCCTTCTTGCGGCGTGTAATCTGTTCGTCGTTGAAACATCATGTGATTCGTTCGGTACGTCAGTACTACAGAACAATCATTGAATCATACATAGATAATCTAAAATCGTTTACTGAATAAATAAATATTCTGATTTTCATTCTCATCACAGTGTTACTTCTTACTAAATCTAATCTGATCTGCTGTGTCACATGGTTACTACTTTTATGTATGGACTGGGTGAAGCTTGATGATGTTATGTAAAACAATATAAACGTTAAATTAGTTCTCATTGTACTATTCAATCGATCAACATCGGAGCGACTGTCACTTTAAAACTGGGCATAATGTTTACTACACAACAAGAGGAGTGAGTGAAGGTCTGGCTCATCTTATTTTAGACCCAAATATTTCACTCAATGGAGAAAAGTAAGAAATATAATACCTACATAAAATAAGGAAAATAGATAGCCTCAACTCCCAGCTCTAATGTTTTTATTCTGCCAGCAAATTATTGGTTGATTCATAACTGCTTACATGAGGGCTCAGGTGCGCAACATATGTTGATGACACGATATTGCAACATCTTAACTAGTGGACCCTATTATCATATTACCTTTACGCCTCAGTACAGTCAACACTATGAATTCATATTTATTGCTTTTGGTTTACCACTATCCATACAGCTTCTTTAGTTTGATAGGACCTCAAATAACGAGTAAACTTTGACCGCTATGCCAAGTTGGTGGCTACGGTTACGTTCAATGTAACTTCTCTTCACTTAAAGTTTTTCATGTCTAACTGACTGTTCTTAATATCCTTTACTTTTATAGTATGGAAATATTGTGAGTATTCGTCTAGCAACATATCGTAACGGTGTCCCAAAAGGTCATGCCTACATTGAATTCACGAATGCAGATGATGCCAGTAAAGCGTTAGTTGCCACAAATGGCTTAGAATTCAGAAATAAAATATTGTCAGTATCTATTAGTGAACCACCTGTACGTGATGGAAGTGGTCCGCAAGGCTGTAAATCAATTACATCAGAAGAAAAAAAAGTGTTCAAAACCCCCCAAATTATTAATTTGAGTGGTTCTCATCCCGTCGGAACTAGTGTGTACGTTCTATTACTTATTTGTGCAATAGCGTTTATTGAATTATGGGATTATTTTTCAAGCGGAAAGGTTCCGACAAAGAATCTGGGCTATACTCTTTTACTCATTAATTTATTATTTTACCGTTGCTTATTTATGTGTATATCCTCATGATTTGTCCCGTAGTTACTGACAACTAATGTACTCGACAAAACCTTTAGCTTCAGTCTGTCAAATTCGTGGAAACACATTTTGTACCTCAAGTATTGATACTGAATCGGACAAACTACCGACTTTAAACTAATATAGAATCCATTACCATCTGCTACGGTCTGTAACTTCGGCTACTGTAAAAAAAATGCATTAAAAAAATACTGTACTAAATCTCTGCCATAGAATATATCAATAAATCAACGGTTACAATCAGAACAGCTATCCATGTTGTAATGCGTGGCTTAAAGTTTACGATGTTAACGATTATTCAACTTACTCAAGAGTTTGAACTTTACTCAAACGGATTGATTACAGATAGGTATCATGTCACTTATCCTTAATGAGGTATAATTTATTTTCTTAGTTCTCACCTTAGTGTCTGCTGTTCAGCAGTTTCGCCATAACAGTATGTCAATAAGTCTTCCATAGTCTGTAACTGTCATAGAGTTTTCACTATGATTATACATGTGTCAGTAACTATTCACGAAATTCGGAGGTCAACAACTGGCTAATCTTCGTCCTTTACTGAAACAACTAAGAAGCATACTGGTCAGTTCTCTCGGACACTTATTATCATATACATGAGTCCTAATATCTATATCTATCTATCCATATATATGAGACAGTGTTATTGCTAAGTGCATGTAGCATTTCTAAAATATGTCCAATATATAAAATCTGTGAGGCTGATACTAGTTCATGTTTTATTGCCATAAAATCTTTTACATCAGAAAATTAGTAATCATTTCGAAATTTTGGTTTGGTTTAAATCATGACTCTGTTGCTGGCAATATGCAGCAAATAGCTCCACAACCTCATGTGTGACAACTTTTATCCTACCATTACCATTTTGACTACAGAGTTCCTAATACACTGAGTATGTATTTGCTGGTTTTCTTCTCATATGGTTTGTATATTTCATTTGATCTTTGTAGACGGAAATCACGAACGCAGTTAGAATTTTTGCCTCGTGCAGTTCATCGAACACGTGAAATTCAAGATCAAGTGTCAGAAAGTAAGATGGATACTGGAACTATCGACCCTCAATCATCCACCGTTACTGGTAGTAAGGATAATGAGTACTTTCGAAGACTATTGAAGTGACGCACGACCTAACTTTTCTCTTGTAAATTATTGAATATCAATTTTTATAATAAACCCTATGGTCAGTTTATTAGCATCGGTATCCCAAAACCCAGTTCTTTCTAAGCTTCTTGTTAGCTAAACTTTCTGGTTAGTGCTTTCCTAACCTTCCTAATATACTTGATCAACTGAAAATACGGATGAGATTTCTTATCGGTTAAAAATGTGTGTAATGCGAAATGTGTAATTTGACTGTTAATCATAAGGATGTAACACACTGTAATTATAAATTGTAAGCTTGTTCCATTTTAACGGGTGCTTGATCATAAGCTAATGCTCAAAATATAAGGTACAAGTTCTCCTAACGTGTCACAGACGCATGACATTTAGACCACAGTACTCAGCCAAGCATCAAACAGAATTTGGACTTCAATCGTCGTTGAAGGCAGTTGGAACGTGAAGTGATGTTTTGTTGTTTACTGCCTCAAGGAATCTTATGTGGCGACTGAGAGCGTTGCTAACATGTAGTTTTCTAATGACTAAGCTTTGGCTTCGATCAGAATGCTTGGTTAAAACAAGGACGATATTCAAAGATATCGTTACAACGAAAGCTCCTACTTTTTTCACATGCTTTTGCTGGAAATTACCTGAACTGTACTAGACATCTTACGCTAATTGAAATATCCTTGTTGGCTAAGTTTTTCTAACATTATCATCGTCGTTAATCTCCCAGGAATTCGTATTTCCGTTTTTAAACTACAACAGTTTACTCAACATAGTCTGTTCTTCCCTAGGATTCTTCCATTTAGAAACACTCGTGTGGACTGTGAAGATCCTGTATACTGAGATTAAATAGGCGTGAATTTTGCATTTTGTGATAATTTCTTTCGCACATATCATTCCATCAAGTGCACAACCACGTTAGCTGAACCCGATACACCGAGAAAAAGCTTCCATTGGTTAGTTCCTACAGAACTGGTCAACTTGCTCTAATCCACGATCTGTTTCAATTTCCTCAAACAGTGCTTCTACATTAACGTAAGGAGACTTTGGATGAAAGTAGGAGAACTCAGGAAAATTTGTTTTCTTATGCTAACGAGAACGTGGCTTTCGTTTGAAGTCGAGTGACTTTTTCATGTCTGACAAGGAGAAAGAGCGGCGATTTGTGTATGAGGTTATTTCGGCTTCACTATGTCATTCGATGAAACTTATAGAAAATTCTCTTATTTGTTGTTTCCCTTTACATGTATCGCTTCCCCTGTTACCCTCTATATTCAACTACATGTTCATTTTTTGTTTCGCTTGTGGTTATTATGATCATGTCGATTGTAATTTTTGAATGGCTATCAGCTCCCTGATATCCTTGTGGTTTCGTGTTTTTTAACTTAACATTTCGATTTTTGGAGGATGCCATAATGGATGGCCTTATTACAGGATAATCTTGTTTAAGTTGGTTCATTAAATCTATCCCTAAAGGATAGAGACATAATCTCATTTATTATATGATCATTAATTTGTGGATTGAATGCTTACCATTGGGGGCGATTTGATTCGTTATTTTTTGGATAGAGCACTATTACTGGATTATTGGGAACCCTTTTATGTAGTTAGCAACTGATTATACAATCTGTCGCTGAATTTGACGTTCTTATCAGTTGGCCAAAATTTTATTCTGGCCCAATTTTGGTTTTTATATGTATTCTTGTTCTTAGCACATTTAAACTTTTCTACCTACTTACTACGTTACTATGTACTAACTGTTTCACCCTATCGCCTTTTAGTAACGTTAAAATACAGCGCATTATAGAATCATCTCGGTACAGATCTATTAAACCTCATTGGGTTTAGGATTTCACAAGGAGTTCTTTTCTCTTCTCAGTAGCACAAATGATCATTTATACCTCAGTCTACCTATATGTGTTAGTACAATTAGTGTATCGTTCATCTAACTATGAAGACAATAGTCTCTTAAATCGGAATATCGACCTAATTTCAAGCCAATCATCTACCAAAGGATCGGGAGGTCAGAACTAGTATATGACACGCCACAGCTGTTGCCAATGAAGATGCATATTTACCCGGACTTAGTCGTGCGGCTAGCTACAATACGTTTGAAGATACTGGGGGTCGTATCTCACTTGTAGTATCAGTGAGAAACAATCGGACTATCCGAAGGTATGATTAGAATCCCGTGTTACTATATATATTCAAGTTATAAAACAGTAAGTGCTGTGATAAAGGGTAGTGCTGTAAGTAGTTTCAGTTTTCGGACTTCTTAGAAAACTAGAGTAGCGTTCACTTATGATGTGAAACAAAACAGATTGATGGGGCGTGAATTTGCGACTCTTCGTGTTTCCCTCTGAATTCATACCTTGTTGAAATTTAAATACGGTTATCAGGATGATTAATAAACTGAGTCTAAGGAATAACGTGGAAGCCAAAGCACTACAGGACTGCTTCACTCACTTTAGAAAAATAAACAACTGGTATTGTCAATCACAAGTCAAACGACATCTAGAATAGTAATGATAAATTACATATAATATTAAACAATATGGTCAATAAAATCGGATAAATTAAACCATTGATTGATCAACAGTCAATACGTTTATGCATATAACTTACAAAAACGACAGATTATGTGACTTGATAAGGAAGTGCATTTGGGATACAATCGGCTGGAGAGTAACGTAGTAGTTTCCAAGGTCGTCTAGTCATCGCGTGCAAAGCAGAACTCTGTTGTGAAGCGTTTCTTCACACAGCTCGCTCATGAAGAAACGTTCAGGAACGTGGATATGGTAAGGAGGTGGTTGACGCACCGGCGTAGGTCCTCTCTGTTCAACTGATAGCTGTATCTGCGTCATTACGATTTCTTTATTTTAGTTCGAACTCATATCCGGTAGCTGTGTAAGTGTCAATCAAAGAATTTGTAAGTATCGGTCTGGATTATCGGGCAGAGTAAGGAGAAGTAATTTGAAGATAAATTGGCTCTTTCTGTATTGCGTTCGGAGACCATATTCATCTAACAATGATACCATAATATTGTTCCTTAGTATTCTATCCACTTCGTTAGGGGGACATAGATTAAATCAAAGCATATTTCATGAACGATTGGTGAATTTTTAACCAATCAGCGCTGGTCGATACTTGGAAAAGACTACAATTTCCTCACACAAAAACTATAAATATACTAACGTTTTGTGCTCCTTACTTCCACCTTACCTTGTCATTTGGAATATAATTTCCTTCCTGTTCAACCGTGTTCTGATTCAGGGACTTGCCGAGTGCATTGGTGTCCAAGGATATTAAGCAATAGGAATAGCCGGGTCGTAATAAGAGAATTACAACAGGGTTATTAAACGAATGTTATTTACTTCGTGTAATAACTTATCCACTTCGAAAGTAATTGCGTTGAGTTAAGGCGAGCTCTACTCGTCATCTACCGCATCATTTCTCTGAAGTTCGCTCGTGAAACCGATCGATTAATGCTGAATGATATTGGGGGCTGAATTTTACTTCTGGAGTACGCTGCTCGAAACTATCAAAATCGATAAATGTCCAGTCTCTTCTGTCATAGTAAACATTCGACCATTTACAGGATACAAATTGCGTTTCCTCTATCCAGCCATCTCTACACGTGATTCCGTTGGAAACAATCCTCACCAATTCCTATAATACGATCAAAATCAAACAAGAAATCACTGTAGCCATGAACCGAAGGCATAGATCAAGGACATCACCGACTGCTGTACAAAACCTAGCTTTTGTCAACAGCAAGGAGCATAGGGTGGCTGTTAGAAAAATATATCAACTACATGGCTCCCAAAAGGCTGAAAATCAAAGCTGAATGTATCAGAAAATGCACAGAATGGGTGCGATTGTTACACCGGTGTGGTGATCAGAATGTGGCCAAATGTCCACCTCATCAATTTAGAGCAACTTTGAATACAGTACATGTTACGGAACAAACCTCATTATCTTACTAGCGGTCATCGATTAGGCGTTCATCTCAAATTCAAGTTAGACGTAACGAGCGTTAAGATGTAAAACGTGCCACTATAATATCACCAACAAAAGCGCATGATGGTCTGTGGAGTATTCGAACTGTAACGTACTAGTCTGGACGAAGCTCTCGGACACTATGTGTTAAAATGACGTTAGTTATCACGTAACATAAACCTTCATACTACTGTGAAAATAAGCGTGTCACAAAATCCTCGTTCATTATACCTTCGTAACTATGGGTGTCCATCTTCTTGTCGATAGAAGAAATCAGATAAGTGATCGAATAAGACTTTATTCAGATCATGGAACATAAGAGTTGGAGCTCGAAGTTGTCCTTTTCAAGCTCAAGGTTTTCAACAATCAATATAAAAATAAGGTAAATATAATGCTACACAAAATGATAAATAAACGAATACATGGGTCATAATAGTTTGCCGCTACTAAGGTGTTAGCGGCTAACTCCTTACCAATCAATCTAAGTTGTCAAAATACCTCACAACAGTTGATTCTCCGAGCCTGATGACTATAAATTCCAGAAGTTGAGAGAATTTAACTAAAGCTCTTCAGGCTCGATTCCTAGTGAAGACTGTCTTTTTCAGCCTTATAGGCTGTAAATGAGAACTGGATTAGCATTTGACGGCGAAGAAGCCAAATATTGCATACCCTAATGTCCATCTACCTCGATCAACAAAACACGGTATATGACATATAGAGGGGCAGAAATTGTAATTTCTGTGATAATTGTACATTTGGGCAACGCCAAGGAGTATTATGTTTTTGGAAAAACTTCGAAATTAGACTGATTGTTCATAAATTATCCGATTCTGATCAAGATTTATCATACTTAAGGATCGACAGGCAGCACTGGTTAGGTAACGGTCATTTCCAAACCGTCACAAATGAGATATATCCAGAACCAAACGATAAGTTGGCAGCTTATTTTATGAGCCTCACACCCATAAGAGTGGTAAACACTTGTAGCTGTATCGTTTTTTAACCAAACGACCTTGTAAGCTGAGCATAAGTTAACTGAGAAAATTCACATTCAACATTTAACACGTAGAGAAGTTCATTCGGTGTAACGTATCCTTCTTCATATGTAATATATTATTCTGTCTACAACTTAAGTGTGTTTTTCGGAAGTGCTGAGCGTCCTATTGCTGAACGTCTCGATATGACGGGTCAGTATAGACACCGACATGACTCCCATTTAAGATCCTGTAAATTAGGTAGTCACTTGATGTCAGATCTGCAATTTTGAGGTTAAGTTTATTATTGTAGTGGCAAGAATGAATGTACTGGAACCAAACTGGGCCATTAATCAACAGACTGAGAGTAAACGACCATAAGAAGATATGGAAGTATATATATCCGGAAATATGCCCTTCAAGGTACCGGGCTGATTAAAGAGAAACTCAGGTCGCTTATTACAGTCAGAATGGAAAGCTTAGAAAAATTGAGAGGTTTCCACACAGTATTCTGACCACAGCTCTTAATTGGAGTCAGAAAAACATGCCCAGTACAAAGTGCGAAGGGACATGATATACTTCTTGACCAAAGCAGCAGCTTAAATACAAAATGACCCGTAATGTCTGTACAAGTTTATGTCTAAGCGCAAATCCGGAAGCCAGTGTGTCTGCGACCCTATAATATTTAGCGGTGAATGTATTGACTACCTGAAAATGGTAGACTTGTTCACAGGTCACTTTGAAACTCAAATAAAGTAAGAATTTGCAAAGGTGGGGCACCTTTTTACTCTAGAACCAGCTGACGTTCTGGAGAACATCTGCCTAACCCATGGGTTAGTTTTGAAGAGATTAAAATCCCTAAGACCATGAAAACTGCGAAGATTAGATTACAGCAAAAGCAGTGAGTGGAGACCATCGGGAAACGGTTCTGTGGTATTACCATGCACTCACCTCAGTTTACATAACCTCTAAGACGATAAAAACAAGATACATTTTTCCCAATGTTCACGAAAAGAAATATAAAGTTCATCTAGTTATAGACCGATTGTATTACTCTCAATACTGTCTGAGACAATAAAATGGTAGACCAATGACTTAATGAGGGAATATATGAACAAGCACATTATCATCCATGAAGCCCAACACAGACACAGAGCTAGCAGGTTTCGCGTGTCTGGTTTTCGCTTAGCACGAGATCTCTGGACAGGTTGCCGTGACCAAGAGGTACCAATGTATGTTATTTTCCCGGAATTAACAGGAACGTTTGACACAGAACAGCGTACAATTATATAGAGACGGTAGCTGACTCACTTGGCACCGAAAGTATCCAAGGAAGTGGATGTTCATCACCAAAGTAAATATTGCTGAACTTATACTCTTTGTGTAAAATTAACAGCTTTTGTACAGATGAAACGCAGAGATCTTATGCTTTTCACGATTATTAATTCTCAGCCATCTCTACAGAACGCGACTAGGGATTACCAACAGAATGCCTAAAGTTCAGTGGTAACTACCAGGAGGAAGCGATCAAAACCTACGTAAACCTCTGTCCCATTCAAATACAATAATGTTTGTTAATTACACAAAATAAATCCTGCGAACCAAGAAAATGAAAATCACCAAACTTGTAGAAATCACTTGGGGTAAGTGAAGAGACATGCCACAAGTTGAACCGAGTGAGATTAACCCTCTGGTAGCCGTCTCCGCTACTTAGGGTTTTTCCCACTAAATTACAGGAGAATAAGAGGCAACAAGGTAGTGGCGTGCTGCCTAATAATTACGCCTGGCCATCCGAAAAGAATAATAATAATATATTACATGAGGCATGCCAGTTTACATGCAAGTTCAAATTGATACAAATGATACAATATCCACTGTAGTAAATTACATAGCTGGGTTGATAATTAATAAGATATGAATGTAGATGGTTTTAATCAGTACCACAGTTGGCGCGCTTCATGAAAGTTGCGTTGTAAATGTGCAACTGATGGTCAAGGATAGGTCCATTGAAGGTGAGAGCTTCTAAATGTCGCAACCTTATGTCCCTTTGGAATGTCTAAGGCTTTGAAGATGGTGCAGGATGAAATCTTTCGTTCCATATCACAAGGGGGCTGAAAGAGGGAGCAAGTAAAAGAAAGGACGAGAGGCAGAGTAGCCAATATTTATGAAGGAATGTTTAATGCATGATTACTCAGTCTAATTTTCTTTTATTAAGGTATTTGTTAAGAAAGAGCATTTTAATAGGTTAAAGAAAGTAAGTATTAACTAGGTGTGAGTGGACATACAACTGACAAATGGAGGCGATTCGGAAAGGAGCTGAGAGTATGGGATTATGTGTGATTATAAAATAAAATATAGTGCTAGAAACAGTATTGTGATATACAATTGGCTATCTTCCTTGTATTACCGAAGCTGTTAGAGCCCCTTTCGTCTTTTTTGTATTATTATTTTTCTTCAGGTATCTACTCCCCTCTCCAGCTCATTAAATGTTGAGGCGACTATAGAATCAATAGCAGTTTTCAATGTCCTGACAAGATATTCCGCCTGACCATTAGAACAAGGATGTCTGGGAGCAGTAAACAGATGTTTGCACCCTATACCATTCAGCCAGGTAGTGACTGCATCTGCAGCAAAATGAGAGCCATTGTCGGTCACCAACACCATGGAACCCCTTCTCGACTAAATATCTTTTTTAATGCTTGGATTGTGACATCAGAATTTGGTGAAATTGTGAAAAAAACTTCAGGCCACTTTGAAAAAAAACAATGGCTACAATTGAGTATATTCTGCCAAGAAACAGGCCACAATAGTCTACATGAATTCTCTGCCAGGCCTCAGACGATACTGGCCATGGCGTCCACTTCGAAGGCTGATTTTTCAACTGATGACGTTTTTCACAATTGTTTGCCGTACGACATATATCTGCATTTACCTCTGGCCACCAACATGTGAGCCTTGCCAAGGACTTCATTTTCTCAACACCTAAATGACCACTATGAAAATCTTCAAGAACAGATTTACTCAATGAAGGAGGAATGACAACTCGATCATTTAAACACAGAATCCCATCAGGAGTAGTAGACAGCTCATCCCGCTTTGAAAAATAGATAGGAAATCTGCGTTTCAAATTAGCATTCCAGCCTTTCTGTATGGCACTGAGTATATATTCAAAATATCTGCGAGTTTCTCTAATGAGGTCTGAACGTCTCACTGGTAGAGGTTGTACTAACAAACATTCCGAAGTATTATTAGGTCTATCTTGTAATGACTGTTGAGAAATGTAGTCAACATGTTGAATTTGTTTGGCACTTCTGTGCTGAACCATATAGTCACATGCACTCAAAGCAATACTCCATCGTTGAACCATAGCAGCTGAGGAACGTGCTAAGGGTTTTTCAGGATGATAAATAAACTTTAAAGCTTCATGATCCGTAACAACAGTAAATTTTTTTCCGAGTAAATACTTATGAAGTCTTTTAACAGCCCAAAACACAGCTAATGCTTCTCGCTGAGTCTGTGAATACCCTTGTTCAGTAACAGTAAGTTTGCGTGAAACACAAATAACTGGTCAAACTTCCTGTTTCAGAACTGCACCAATTCCCACAGGTGATGCATCAATAATAAGCACAGAATGTGCATTAGGGGAGTAAGTTCGAAGAACAGCATCACTTTGAAGAAACGTTAGTAGACTTCGTAAGCATGACTCTTGTTCCTCACTCCATTTGAATGAATTGAATGTCAAAATATTAAATAAACAATTTGCACGACAAAAAAAATTAGGAATAAAACGGGAGCAGTACTGAAGAGCACCCATTAGTGAACGTCATTTCGTAAGATCTTTTGGAGACGGTGCATTTGTCAACAGAGCTAGTCGTTTCATATCTGGTCTAAAACCATTACCATCATCTAGGTATTCAAGGCATTCAAAACTAGATACACAAAATGAACACTTATTTGGATTCACTGTAATATTCTTCTCAATAAACTTCAGCACCTTCAAGATCACTAACTACCTCATTCATAACATCCTGAAATATGGCTGTAGAACAACTTAGACCAAATGGAAGGAGACTGTATTTAAACAGACCAAGAGGAGTGTTAATTGTTGTCAAAGAAGATGAAGAATGTTCTATAGGAATTTGAAGATAAGCATCTTTTAGGTCAACTTCCGAGAACACTTTAGAACTATGAAGTCAATTTAGAATATCTCCAGCCTCTACCGTCGTACACGTTTGCTTCAACAAACGGGAGTTCAGAGTTATTCTACAGTCACCACAAATTCTAGGGATCTTGCTGTCCAACTTCAGTGGCCTACGATAGGAGTACCTCATGCTGAAGACTGAATTGGTTCAATTGTGCCTTTTGCACACAAATCGTTTAATGTCTTATGTACTGCTTCTCGAAGATCATAAGGTATTATTCGTCTTTTAAGAAAGGCTGGATCACCCTGTACTTGAAGCTTTATAGACTTAATTTTTATACCTCCACTGCATTTAGCGCACATAGCTATCAAATCTTTAAGTAAAGTATAAGAATTTTCTTTAGAAATTAGGAAAGACAACTACACCTTACGCCTTTTCAAATTCTTTAAACCTAGTATTGACAGTCCACTTTCACTAACTAAAAAGTCACAAGGTATGTATGAAGAATTATTATCTCTTAATAGCAATTCACAACATCCTCGTATGGGCAGTCTGTGTCCAGTAATCCCTTATATTAATACTCCGGTGGGTCGTACCACAACGTTAGAATCTAAGGATTTCAAGTTATTGATTGAAATAATGGACTCTATACTGCCTGTGTCCAGAATAAAGTCATGAAATGAACCAAGCGATGTATATGGTGGCTTTTGAATATGAGCATTACCTTTCGAAATAATACACAAAGATAAATGATCACTAGGAACATCCGAATTATTGAAATTTAAATTACAAGATTTAGTACTACTTGAAGCAAAATGGGCAGTAGCTTTGCTTAATGACTGAATGTGTCCTATCTTACCACATTTAAAACATTTAGCATTACAAAATGCACATGAATTACGAGAATGAAACTTTTCATATGATAAACATTTACCAAACTTCATCTTACCTTTGTGATTTGCTTTGTAAATTATACAAACCTTCCTATTGAAGCAATATACCGTCCGTTGTATATCAACCATTGGTCAATGCAAACACATTGACCTAGAACAATCACGCTCATATGTAACGTTTTCCCTTAAATGAATTCCTTGGAGTCTTTTAAAAGAAAACCTGACATATTCTTGAGGACTAAAGATAGTACCTCACCAACCCTGTTCTTTTTCTTTTTTACCGATAATATTCCTTGTTTCGTGCCCGGAGATATCGGTGATCCACTGCTACTAAATACGGAAGCCCGTTGGGCTAAATCTCTTTCTATTCGATCCCAAACCATTTTAACCATTTGAGTTCGGACAAAAGAAAGGTTAAGCCCTAATTCATTATCACATCCATCACGGTTAACACAGCCAAGTGGCAAGGATATTCACACTGGACGATGATCAATACGACGAGCTCCACATCGATAAGTAGTTTCGTTTTTACATGCTCATCAGAGAGGTATTAAATATTGAGCAGTTGCCACGGTGAAAGCTTCCGCGGTTTACAACTAATTCTATTTCGGTTGATATTTTTGCTGAACTACTCAAACTGTAGACGTATGTCTTTTAGAAAAATTAAGTTAAAGGCAAAAATTCTTTTAAATAAATCAAAATGCTTTTCGCTGTAAGTTTAAGGCTATTTGATATCGGATCCCATAACTATTAACGGTGACCAATTTCCCTATTTTACAGAAAAGTTCGTCCGTTTCGTGAAAATTTTGCGCAAGCATCAGTAGGAAAATTCGGGAAAACGGCACAAAATCTTCAAAATTTATCTGAGAGTTTCTAAAGTTTTCCTTAGATAGGGGGATACTAGACAGCACAAAATGTTATTTGTTGTAATAAAAACCGTACTTGAAAGACACTTAGTAAGCTTCGAATAAATTATTAGTTTTTTATATTTGCTGTTGGCACCTTATGAAATCGTTTTTGACTTCGTATTTCATTTTCTAGTTAGAACTACAAACTATATTTTCAGTTATAACTGAATATATAGTTTGTATACATATGTAACATAGGTTATATGTTTATTGATTATAACCCATAAACCCCGTAAATACTTGAACACTTTATAGGTATCTTGTTTATGTCTTCAAATTGCTTTTCGTTTCAGAGTTTTTCTCGAAGTTCTTGAAAATGTCCTCAATTCCACGTGTGTCAAGTTAGTTGACATGAAAAAGAAAGGGATAATACTACGTTTCTTTTTGTCTGCTCACAATGACAGATGATTCAACGTCTTCACCCGAAGATGACATTTTCGTAGATAAAGGAGAACTCTTGCGAGAAGAGTAATGCTTTACTCACTCTAATGTTGTAAATCTAGATACGCTAACCTAAGCAATGAGATTGAAGCAATTTCCGAAGAAATATTAGACATGTAAGTTCGGGCGTTTAGAAAATTTTTGGCTGTTAGACAAAGTGAATTAATACTTACTGAGCATTCTATCCAAGAACAAGAAGTTAAGAATGTAGTGTTTATTTCAGAAATTTTTATTATACTTTTATCAAAAATAGAATGAATATAACTCGTATTTGGAGAAAAAGCAGTCGAAACGTTTGAAAAATACAATAACGTTAGAAGATTATTATTTGTTTACTGTGAATGAATTAGAGAGAGATAGAGATGAAATGTTGACTATGTATGCTAAAAAAAAGTCTGGTGCGTCTGATGCTTTCGTTATACTGTACCGTAGAATTGCAGGATGTTTTACTACAGGAGAAAAAACTCCTGAAACATGTCAAAGAAGAATTAGTATCAACAGCAGATATTCAAGTAAGCTTTCAGATCTTACCGTTGGTACCAATGGTTTTGTATGCTAATCAAATAATTTGTAGATTCATAATAGCTGAAATATAGCTATAATTATTGACAGCACAAAACGTTACACGTATATAGGTTAGCTATATTTATGACAAATTACACTAACTCAAAAAAAGACGGAATTAGTTGGATGAGAATCAAAACGTTTGTAGTAATATGAACATCATCCATAGAAAATATCCAGTTATACATGAGGTTGATTTTGGACGATTAAGGTTAGGTAATGAATGATGTTGAAGTTCAAGACAATACTGGATCTATTTTTATCGTTACGTTTAGTTTTAACAGCGCCATTTATGGGCTACAACTAAGTAATTTCATCATTGTGTGTTCACCTACAGACCTGACTTTGATCGACATTCAGGAAGTTTATTGGCTGATGCGGTGTATTGGGCCTGCAGACGCCTTATTCCGGACAGTTCTAGTGGAGTTGTATTCTCTGAGCCGGACGGTTTTGTTGTGGAGCTTTCATTGTTCTTTTGAACAACATCATTAGCATAAACGTCAGGTTGAAGTGATATGTTCGAATTCCTCCATATATGATTCATAGCTTGTTCTGTCGACCCCGATCTTGATCAGCTATTGTTGACCTCTAACCTATCATTGTCTACCTCATTATATTGACTGTATCTCCCTTTGACTTGATTCTTCGTCCTATATTTGTCCATGATTTTTATTATTGGTTGATAGATTGGATCAATTTCGAGGTGATTGACCTGAGTGCCAAGCTTCTAATAATCCCATAGTGTTTTTAGAATTCCTTCTATCCAATTATTATTATTTCAACACATAAATATTGGTACAAGAGGGCACCAAATATATATGCGCCACACCATATTTGTGCGTGCGTGTGTGGGCTGTGATACTACCCGGGTGCCCAGACCAAAGCAGGTGGTATTCTTAGGGGGTCACACCCCGAGTCTTTGACCTGAAGGTCTAACCCACAAAGCAGTGGAGCATCGTAAGGAGATGCAGTCCCATGGTAGCCGGTGACCAACGATTGGTTCATACTCCATTTGTTCCGGCAGGATGCTGGAGCCCATATACACCATTGGTTTGGGATCCGGTTAAGGCGCCGGACATTCGCTTTTCGTCCTCTCATTTTTGTAAACAACACCCCGGCCACGTGAAGGCAGTGAGTAGGACTTCCCTGGCAGAGGCTGTATACGCGTGGCCGTGTGAGAGTATTTCGAGAGAGAGGGCGGGCCCACCCCACTATCGGCCATACAAGGGCATTTGGGGGCCCTTCTATCCAATATCCCAGCATTTTTGCAGTTGAACGTGTCTCCACAGTTGTCACAATGCATTGATATAAACATGAGTACGTCATGACATTTGACTGCCAATTGACGTTCGTGCGGGCGAAGATGAAGGCGGCGTTCTTGTGGTTTGATGTGGTGTTGTACGGAATTGTAACAGTTTGTTTTGTAGATGACGTTCGGTTTTTCTTATCTTTCACATCGTCCTTTGCTTTGCATAGGATTGATTAAAATGGTTTTGTTGGTTTATGTGCTACGCTTATTCCTACTGTCATAGTTCTACCGGACAAATGATGTTCTATAGGAATTATGGACAAGGAAGGATGTATTAGGTAAGCTGAGGGACTAATTGAATATAAAAGGGTACATGAATTATTGAACATCAATCCAATCAAAAGGTGAGATGACCAAATCTCAAGGACTTTAAACAATCTTGTCACAGTAGGAAAGATCAATTTCAAGATAAATGGAGAATGAAATCCGGTGGACCAGTACGCCCTAGATTCTACAGTAGGCCGAAAATACACAAACCAGACATCCAACTTCGTCCAAATGTAGCACTCCAAGGAGCCCCAACAAACAATTTGTCGAGAGAAATTTCACGAATATGGAAACATATAGCGGATTGATTCAATAACTCTATTAAATCTCCTATACAATTCCTGGACAGGATTAAGAACATTCAAATCAGCAACGACGAGCTGATGATATTCTTTGATTCAACGGTCTTGTTCACATCAATTGAACCGATCTCAGCGAAGGAAACTTTATCCCTGCTCTTCAACAACGACACAAATTTCCCAAAGTACACGAGGCTTCAATGTCAAAGTTTACTAGAAGTCATTGATTTATGTTCAACAACACACTTTCAATTCAACGAAAAAATCTACAAACAAACGAAAGAAGCACCAATAGAATCAATAATATTAGGACTTATTGAATAAGCAGTGATGCAAAGACTGGAAGCCTCAGTCTTACCAGTGATCAAGCCAAAAATATGGATTCATTATGTGGACGGCACATTGGCCACCATCAAGAAGGACGAGCTGGAAAACACTTTTAATATGATCAACAGCATTTTCGATGACATAAGGTTCACGTTAGAACAGGCGTCAAACAATAAACTATCATTCTTGGATGTATTAATCACCAGGACCGATACAGGAAAACTGGAGATTTAAATATATCGGAAGCCAACTTACATGTCGGATAAGACACCTGGAAGCGAAATAAATTCTAGATTTGTTCTTAATCGTTCTAAATAAAACTTCGTTTTACCACAGTCACGGATTTCTAATTTTGTTTGATTCTGCTAATTTTAAGAAAGTTTCAAACTTTATGAATTGCGGTCTGATAACTAGGCATTGATATCTGTTCATATTTAGTTAATCTAGTTACTCCTAATTATCCTTAGCACCCCGGTATAAAGTCCAATATGTTTTATCCGTTTTGAAAACTATGTTCTTATAAGCACAGATTACGTAAGATCAATAAGATGCATACACATCCAGCTGGGTCTCAAAATTTATAAAACGTGCATTCTGGTTTTCATAGGTGTTTATTAATGTGAATATAACTTATTTAGAGAAATAGTTCATAAAGACGTTTTGTTCAAGTTTAGTTTAATTTTGTTTCTGATTAGTTAATTCGTAAAAAACAAGAAGCAGAAATTGAACGTTTAGAAAAAGAAATAAGAGCTACCCGCAATTACCAATCAGAAAAACTTCAACAGTTTAAAGAGATATCTAAACAAAAACATTTGGAGTTGGAAAAAGAAGCTAAGATTATCTTGGATAACGTGACTGAAAAAAGTAAAAAGGTATATGTCTACCTGCTATTCATCTTCCGATAACTTTTTGATGAACTGACATAAACTAGTCGATGTATTTGCTGCCTTTTCTTAATTTTAGAGAACATTTCTTGATCTGGTAGCCTTTAGTGGAGCCATTCTAGTCACTTGGTCGCAATATTTCTGATGTTTTCGAGAAGCATATAAAGGTTGATTTATTTTGATGGCGAGTAGTTGAGCTTATTCTTAGTCATTAGGATGACTGGAACATTTAGCGATCTTATCGCTAAATATAACAAGTATTTTAAAGTTCCAAGTTATAGTGTGCAGAGTGAGATCGCATCTGTTCATCCCTTCTTGGGTGACCAGTTACGCTTACTGATAACGCTTCGAATATAAGATAATTTTAAGATACCTACATTTTTGTTCGCATTACAAAACATGTTTATAGTCTAATCGGTCTTTGTAACGGTTATTAGTGTCAGTCTCCCTCCAGTTGTTAAGGTTTTTGATTAGTTCCCATCTCTAGAAGTTTTTGTTGCGCAACATGTGTTAGATAAGGCATTGTGTAGCAATTATATTCTGTCTTACATCTATGGTTTCTGATATACTTGATCATCATTACCCAAGCAGAAAAACATGGTGAGTTTTTAACTAAAATGGATGATTTTTTTCTAAGTTTAATAAAACTGGCAACATTTCAGGTATCTATTCACACCCACGTTTACAAGTGAATCTATAGGTTCCCCACAGACTTTACTAGTAACCTTCATTTTCTAAAGAACATGGGACAATGTTTTCTTCAGAGTTCGGAAAAGAATGGACGGTAAAAATATGGAGAAGTAGGTGGTATGCAGGATTTTAAAGTTTCCAAAACCCGTAATTTCATCATTTAATAAGCTAATATGTCATATTTTTTAAAACAAAGTAGTATTTACAAATAATTTAACTTCAATGTAACGTAATTTCTAGGAAAATCGAAACGTCTGTATATTATCTTGAATAATATTACGAGTTTTTTCCCAGTCAAACTACCCCTGGTGTCCTCTTTAAAATTTGTTTCCACTTCTTTCTACTATGAATAATATCAACTGCCGTGTCTTCAATTTTTGAGCAGTTGCCTCCTGTTATGACAACGGATATCACTCACATATGTGAAACACATTTCAGCCGAAGTTGTTACACCATTTCAACAACGAGAGAAGCGATTAATAGTATAAGCTAGTAGGAGTGAAAAATCATTGTTTACGTCACCTTTTTCGTTGTCATTGTTAGTTAAGCATTCGTACTTTGATAAGTCTTACTAACTTGGTTGAATGCGTTGTAAGAAAATAACGACTTTAATTTCTTTGATATATATTTCTGTATTTGACCAGTGGTTCTGTCTCAAATAATATTTAGTTGGGATTTAGCTATATGTTTTATCATAAGAGAATACCTGTTGAAACATCCAATTTGTTTTTTAGACTTATCAACAAAGGAGTAGTTGCAGAATCTACCACAGACATAAGCTATTGTAAACGCCTTTTATCAAAAATATTTCCCCAAATGTTACGGAAGCATGACAGATATTGCAGATTGTTTAAGTGTGATTATGCCATACACTTATTTGTCAGATACTTCTCTCTTCACTTAAAAGTACATTCTGAAATTATATACTACAGTTTTAATCATCATATACTGTTTGCCCAGCGAATGTCGATCATGTCTTTCGGAGTTCTCCATTTCTCTTCATAAGGCATTAAATAAACTCATTACTGTATTCCTGGTTATTTTTTTTGGTTGTAAGTCCTTAACCATCCACATTCAACCGAATAAAAATAATTACAAAATTCATGAATCTTTCAGTGAACCTACTGTCATGCCACCTCAATACAGATTGATTAATATGACAAGATCAAAAGAGCTTCATTAAGTCAACGTAGAAATCGATCGGCATGATATTTTAAGTGTGTCCACTTAGTAGACTATTGATTGATGCTAAATATTACTCATTCAAAGTATAAAACTCTGGTTGGTAACCTGACTCTACAACGGCATATGAAGTGTATTGTACGCACATTTCATTTTGATTTATTTTGGAAGTCAAATAAATCTTCATCACCGTTCTGCAGTTTTCATCATGTATTGTTGGATTTGGGGTCTCAGTATAAGGCATAACCCATTTAATCATGTCCGCTAACACAGAAGTGTCAGAGATGACAGTGGCGACGAGTATGGGATACGACTTCGGCCAGGGAAACCTCGATGGGTCAGTTAAGCACCGGAAAGACATGATAGTAACAGACGTAACCACTGATCAATATCTATCGTTATCAAAGGACATCACATTTGGATTTCCACTATATTGATCCTACTGATTATTGTTTCATGTTCTAACTTATGTTGGAGGATTCTAAAGCAATTTGCTCATGGATGATGAATTATTATTGGATCTGGAATTCAGTTAAGTTTTTCCAATTGAATTGCTTTCTATTTATCCTGTTTGATCTCTTTTTATTACAACAGATTTCAAACAAACTGATCGTTGAACATGTTAATAAGATATGTAAAGAAAATGAGGAATTGTATAAGGATATCCTAAATAAATCAGAATTAATAAAAGCTATGGAAGCAGAAAAATCGAACTTGGAGAAACAAAATGAAGAGGTCAGACATAATCAGGTGTTTTCCAAGGTGAGGTTATGTTTTAGGTATATTTTACACAACTACTATTCAATAAGAAACGTAGTGCAAAATCTCTTGTGAGGATGAACTGATCTGACTAAGAACCCATAACAATTTGACATATCTTTTCAGCATTTTGACTACTGTACAAATTCGACGAAACTAGGGGTACTGAAGATCAGCAGAAAGGGAATGTAGTTATATACAGTAGAAAATTGAGGGTTCGCAGGTTTTAGTGAAAGATGACAATGAGTAGATAGGATTAGGTCATAGAGATCTTTCTAATGTGTTTTTGTCGAGTTCCCATGGATCAGCATTTACTAACCTAGCTAGACTATCATTGTTTCCATACGTAAGGCTGAATATCAGTATACTAATAAACTTCATGAATACATTCATCTACCGAGACTAGTAATTTTTGCAAACCTTTTTTCATTTGGGCTGATAGGTAGTCTAGATAGTTTGTCACTTGATCGAACTTAGTTACCTGAATATCTACTTTTACCTTCTTCCTGAAGGACCGAAAAAATAGACTGCTTAAACATTTCACACTATTTTCCTGTGAATCAAATCATTTGTGGTGACGTGATACAATAGAAAATGCAGCTATCTGTATAACTTGTCAGGGATTTTGACTCAGATTGTTCATAATCTCTCATTTTACTTTACTTTTAGGACCTGGAGTATGTTGAATATAAACGTTGCGAAGGCTTGTCACAACTGAAAAGTTTATCATCACAGAAATAAAGCAGCATTAAGTTGTCATCTATTTTTAAAAGCAAACAGACTTTTTAAAAAATGCTGTTTCCATCATTCTACTTTTGTGTAATTAGTTTTCTTTACGGATTTGAGTAGAGCCAGAGTAGCATTAGACTCAGAATACTATGAATTCATTATACTTCGTGGTTTCTCATTAGCCGCTTATAACTGTTGATGTGTATTAAAGGGTAACATTAAGGTGTGATATAATATGAAGCAATCGATATTGATCACATGAGAAGTTAGAGTAACAAAGATTATCAATAATATATATATATATTATATAATTAAATGTAGTCCGGAGGCAGAATAGGATGGATCGTATAATAATTACAGTTGTAAAGATTCGAGTTTCATAGGTTTAGCGTTCGTGCGCAAGAACTAAGGTCCGGGGTTCGATTTCTACCTTGGGAGTCGTGGATACGCACTCATGAGGAGATCTATACAAGGACAAAACGACCATCTAGTGCTTTCCGGTTTTCAGTAGTGGTCTAACTTGATGAGTTTTTCGAAGTTTTGAAGATCAAGTCGATGAAAAGACACCCATGAATGAAAGGATAATTTTGGCATACATAAATTAAAAATACGTTTGACGAAGGCTGAGTACATAACACGATAACAATGTTTTCAGTTCAATATGCATACCAAGTAAAGTGATACTATTTTAGTAGTATAGAATCGTAACAGCTGGATCTTGAACCTTCATTTCACTTTAAGGTTACTTCCCTATATATTTCTAATTTTGGTCACCTATAACTTGGTCAAGCATCCGAATAGACAAGACGACTGGCATTAGGTAGCACCAAAAAATTAACTCAACAGTGACGTTGAATGATTGAACTTTGAAATGAGTAAATAATTAAAAAATGCAGGGCAAAATTACTTTGAAAAATTAGATTATTGTTTACCAGTGTTTTATAATATAGGAAAGATCCGTTTTGCATATCAGTTGTTGTGTTGTAATGACCACTTTGTACGATGTTGCGTACGTATGAATATCACACAGATAATCGAAATGGAAACAATACAAACCAACTAAGCAGATTTTTTTATTTTTCATTCCTAACATTTTACATATCAACAGATTTCAATTATTATCTCGACATTGATAGTGTAATAATACAATCGCTAAGGGAATCATAGATTGAATGTTGATCTACATCTGGAAAATAATACAGATTCGTTTGTGATATTGTGAAAACCACTCACTGGCTTAGATGTAACTTCTTCATTTAGTTTATTACTTCTGATGTACAACTAATTAGATCTGGAATTTATGAATGTGATTGTTGGTAAATAAAAAATACTAAGAAAAATTTAGGTCGTGTAATCTTCCAAATATAATGACCGGTTGTTATCTCTATTGATTTCCTGTTTAGATATCCGATATTTTCAAAATAAAATATTAACTAGTAAAATGAGCTTTATACAACACAAATACAAACTCTACATAACGTTTAAATATTATTTTATTGAAATCCAACCTAGAACTAAGTTGTAAATTGCATGGTTTGACAGACTGAATAACAACATTTATCTACTAGGAAACCGATGAACTGTAACCTAAGCTGTTTCAGACTATTGTGATTATTTAACTAACATAATGAGGAAACAAAATGAATTATTATCACTTAGTAACACCATTAAAATGTAAGAATAACTGAATAGTTGCTCTACACTAATTTGAGTCAGTTTATAAATACATATTGGCATCAATATACATAACTAAATATAGGATCTATCATCTACTGATGAACATTTAAAAGTAAAAGGTAAAACCAAAACAAATGTGGAGGTAAGAAATACTGTTTCTTCTGATAATTGGTCTTATATTTATATTTTATCACAATTTGTTTTGATAAAATACTAAAATTATTGAAGTGATTTAATCCATTAGCTTCCTAAAACGATTGATTGACAAGTTTCAACGAGATAGACTTTCAATGAAAAGAAATCATTTACTGGCCGATTAAATTAGGGAGTTAAAGTGTTCATTTGTATACAGAATAAGTAATAAATATTACATGGTTTGTTAGATCATTGATGAAATAAAGGTTGAATATAATATAATAAGCCTATCAGTAACCATGTGCGTTCGTATATCATATCATTCATTTTACTGAATGTTTGGTGTAAATCGGTTTAAAGTTTTTATTTTGGAATTCTTAATGGTTTTTATTTTTCAGCGAGATGTTTATGTTACCTTCGCAAGATTCATCCATAAAAATCAGTCTATTCAAAACCTTACCAAAGAATTAAATGCACTAGTAGCTCACCAATCACAAGGTGGCGTGTTTGAACGTTTGTGCCACTTGTGTAGGCATTAAAATTAACCATCCTGTTTTAGATTTGCTTGTACTGTTTGATTAGAATCAATTAGAAATATTTAATTTGATTCATATATGCTTTGCAAGTTAATACTATGGTAATTACTGGAAAACCTTAACAGAAACATTACAGTTGTTGACATATTTCCCATGTAAACAGCAAAAATCAAGAATCAGATATATCGGTATCTATGTATTTTGTATATGCTTAACAGGGAAAGTAGTTGTAGCAGATGAACAAGTTGAAAATTTTCTTGATTAATAACGGTTTTCAGATATATTGGTTACTAAAAATATTTAAAAAATATCTCTGAAAATCCTGTACTGTAACAAAAATTTACAGTATTGAATAAAGCTACTATTATTACCATTAGTTCGTTATTAGATAGTGTAGTTTTCAAAACTAACTGAAACATACTAAAAGGTAACAAACTTGTTTTTTTTAAAAAAAAATACTCAGCACTAAAACAAAATGTAATACACTGTCAAATTATTCAATTTAATGATCATACTGTGCCATTTTGATTGATAGAATTCAATTCATGTTAAGAAGCAGAAAAAGAAAGAAGATAAATCAGCTGACAACAAATAAATCTAAATGTCCCTAACAAACTTACATTTTTATGTTAGTCGGAATTAAGACAGACATTTTAAAAGTTTTATTTAAGAATAACAAAATATTATCTCTGGATCATTATTACAATTTTATTAGAAGTTTTACATGATGATGATAATGATAATGTATATAAATCCAGTAAATAAAATGAACTAAATACAGTCACAAAAACACATTTTCTGATAGTCACTAGGTAATTTCATGGTTTTATATAGAACAATATATATGTTTTACTGTTAACAGAAATTAATGTACAGTTATGAATATCATTGTAATCATGATTTATTAGTTCAGACTATACTGAGAATAAATTAATGTCATAGGTAATTTGTATGCAATGAAGAAAAACAAAAAGATAAATTTTCAAATGATATCCTTGTTTGTTTACCCTTGATAATTCGATTTTTCTCTTCCCTATCCCTGATTTTCACCTCTGTATAAAAAAAAGGAAAAAAGAATCTAACAAATGATGTACATTTAGGCTAAGAAAAGTATGAAATACTTAGACTAAAATAATCTATAAAATGTTTCTTGGTTTTCTTTAGTTTTTTCCACTGAGGTAAGTACGTGATGAAAAGTAATATTTTGATTTCAGAAGGTCTCTTGAGATATCAGATGAAGAAATATTTTCAGGTTTGAACTTTGAAATTTCCATTTACTTTCAAAAGAAAACATTTTGTGGGAGACTGGTATAAATAAAAGAGCTACCAAAGGCCAGGAAACATTAGGCAGTCGACTGATCCTCCTTGATGACCTCTTAGAATTACAAGAGACCAAAGAGAATAAACGTAGTAAAATAACATGGATTATTCTTATTTCTTGTTTTCTCTTCATTTTTTTACAACCTAAACATAATAGTATAAATCGTATAAATGATTGTTTATTTATACACTAAGCAATAAGTAGATTCTAAAAGAAAATTTTAAAAAGGACATGGAGACAGATTAACAAAAAAAATTCAGACTATAAATTACTTAAGAACAACTAAAAATAGGACTGGCTATAGGATTAAAATATATGAAGCTTAAATAAAACTCGAATTAGAAAGAAAGTGAAGTTTTGATGACAAACATGAATTGGTAGACAACCAAACGTTGGAAAACAAAGAAACTAGGGCAGTATAATAGTTATAACAGTATCTTTTAGAACGCGTAAATACGATTTATGTTTTTAAAGAGTAATTTCTACGGTAAAACATATCAAGTTAGAGGTTACCTGTTTGAAATAGTCATGAAATCACAACGTTATGTCCACTACCAAGTAAATGACGGGCGTTCAGACTACTAAAGGAGTTTCGATCACTTAATCTCATCCAAGGAAAGTCCTTGAATATTGGAACGCTAAATCTGTGTTTTTCTCCTCCAAAGCAAGCACTTCGACACGTGCATACAAATCGATTTAAATGATTAAAGATAACGTATGACTAGTATTTTTTTACGGTTGAATGTCGTAACGAACAACCTTTTTGTATATCGAGATGAGTTCTATAGCTGGATAAGTCCTTTTTAATAGATTTATTAGTTTAGAATCAGTCTGACAAGATATTTTGTCGCTATTGAATCTGAGTAATTTGAAAGCAATACTTTCTTCCCGTCGTAGTACACTCCACTAGCTTCGTTCTTGTCTTCTCACACTTGCTGATAAACTTTCGTGGATAACGTTTATTCATCAAACAACTATCAATAACATTTAATTCCTCTTCCATCTTGTCGTCTGAGCATGATTCTTGTACTCTATTGGATTACGTTATAAACAAAGCTCATTTGTAGCTTATCGGACAAAGTCTACTCAAATTCAAATGAAAAACAAGACTTGTCATGTTTATCCTCGATCGTATGGGATTGGAAAGATTAAGCAATATATGAAACATGTTTTTGATCATCAAATACACACACACTACTGACACAGCTTATTGATACTGGCTACTTACCCATCACCTAAATTAGACTGAACTCACAATTTTGCGACAAATGTAACTATCATTGCCGTTTGTCTAAACGCTATATTTAGTAAAGATCAAATTTCCACACTTTAACCAGATACTATTCAACGCGTTTAATAACGTCTAATTCCATTAAAGTTACTGAACAGAATCATTAATTTGGTTCATCATGAACTGCTATCAGTCGGACAATAATTGAAAACGAGGGGACGTAGGATTGATCTTCAGTTGTAATTCATAAACCTTCACCAAAG